TAAAGTGGAGAGAAGCGTTAGGTGTTTCATGTAACAAGTAAATTCCAATGGGACTTAAAGTTGAGTTCTACAGAAGTGTGGTGAAACTGATCGTGTCGTGTGGTTCGGGGTGTTGGTAACAGACTGTAAAATAGAACCGAGAATAAAATAGACTAAGATAGTTTGGGTTTGTCATGAAGAGAGAGAAATCTGAAACAGTAAAAATTGTAATAAAAAAAGACCGAAAAAGAGGTATTTGGAAACGATCGAGAATGACACTACGGTGGCCAACCCTAAATAGTTGGAATGAAGGCGAAAAGGAAAAATAGATGCGATATGGATAGGAATACGTTCATGAAACGCAACCTGTTCAATTACTTACTTTAATTTACAGAATCATATAGAACTTTACAGAACTGGTTTCGTGCGACCCGGTACAGAATCAATATCAGTGATTATATTTATGTTTATTTATACTGGTGCAGTTATCTGAAGACGACTAGTTTTAATTATTTATTTTACGGATTGTACCATTGACGGATATCATCGATTATATTGCATTGTATTATTATATACAATATATCTAATGGTTTAATTGATTAAAGTGTACCTAATTCGAAATGTGCAAATATTATAATGTGCAATGCATACATAAATTTCCACATGGAAGTTAAATAGAAACATCGTGTACGTTTAGATTATATAATACATATATATCTAATTGACATACGATATGTATTAACTTTTCGTACGTATAACACAATGTACATGTTTACTTATCCTTATTTCTAATGAACTGTTGCAAATTGAACGGTTAATCTGTTTGACGGGGTTTGTAGGGGTTCAAACACCCCCCCCCCCCGAAATTTTTATAGTAGGTATATATTTATAATATAACAATGACTAACTACAAACTCTATGTATAATTTATTTCATTAAAAATATTTTAACCCCCCCCCCCCGAAAATTGATCCTGAATACGTGCCTGGTATCTACATATATAAAACTGAAATCGAGCAAAAGAGGAAATCTTTGTTACGGTTTGGCTTCGAAACTTCCTATCCAACTGTCATGCAGTTTTTTTTTAAATGAAAGAGGATATCACGGAACAGGTTTTAGGCTTGAATAAGGTCCGATAACGTTAGTCAATAATTAGTTATCTATACATATAAAATCCAAATACCACTGACTCGCTGATCGCTGTATCTCAAAAACCGCTCAACGTACGGACTTGAAATTTGGAATAGAGGTTCTTCTCATATTTTCACCGTGCGACAAGAAAGTATTTTCAAAAATGTTGCGTTTTAGTGGAGTTATATAACGATTATAATTATTCACCGCCAATACGTATTGTACGGCACGGCGGCCCGCGGGTTTCCAGCTACCTGCAGCCTATCCTTTTTGTCCGTCGTCGTGTAGACAAGAATAATGATTCCGAGAGTAAAATTGTTCCGAGAAGTTTATCGATAAAAATAATCTCATGCGCCGCGCGTACACCAACACTCCTGTTTTATTATAACTAACGATAAAATGCACGTACACATACACATACAAATTCTATTTATAGAATTAATTTGGACTCTCGTGACGTATAAAATACTAGCTGAATTACCCGGCGTCGCCCGTTATTATGTATATTATCGATAATTATGAATTATTTAAGACGGTAAATGGTAATACATGGCGTTATCTAATTCGTCGCGAATTTGTTTCCGGGCAACGCCGGGTAATTCAGCTAGTAATGTATGTAGAGGTAACACAATTGTCTCAAACAAAATTGTATTAGACTGATCGAAAATAACTATTTCAGAACAAAACTTTTTCGAAATCAAAATAATTCCTATACTTGTAATATAATGAAGGATTTGTTCTACACGTCGTCTAATCCCTTGAAGTCAGAACTGTGTAGTACCGCTACTATTGTATTCAGTAGACGTAGAATATGGGACGTTTACAACCACTCTAAAACGCCAAAAAAAAGTTTTGTTTTAATATTAAACATTAGGTTGATCTATTTAAAAAAAAAAAAAAAAAAAAAAATGTAATTTCGAATACCCGAGTTAGCAAACTTTCCCATCGAAAACCTCGAAAACTTGTATGTAACTTTGGAACAAAATAGCAAAAGTGTCGGTAATAAAAAATAATTAAATTTTACCATTTTGACTTACTGTGGCATTCATTCATTAACTACTTGCGGGTCGCAAAAATCAAAAGTTACCTGAAATTGCGTTTACATATATCTACTAAAATGAACAACACAATAAACTGAATATTATCATAATGCGATAGTGAACTGTATAATAAAACGGTTTGCATCAACTTAATTAGTTTATAGTGATTATTGTTATTATATGATACCTATTCAATTACATCCAAGTGATCAAAAATTAGATTGTATGTGGCAATTTCTACATTTTTTTTATGTGACATATGAATGCGAAGCTTGACCGATGACGGCTAATGGAGAGGAAGCTAAGAACTTTTGAAAATAAGGTATGGTGTGTAAAATCTGTGGCGCTACATTTGACGCGGATATGCGAAATTGACAAAAGAGATATAATAAGGAACTTTCTTGAACCAAGCCACAGATATAATATATCAAATCATCTGTATTACTAATCGACAGTTATTTGTAATTTATATTCATATATATATATTATAGGTAATACGTTTATATTCGTTGATAAACGGCGTATATATTGTATACCGTCACTGTATATATTTAAATATAATCGTGTACGTTGGCACATTCTCATTACATATTTTAGTATATATGACGGGTACACGCTCCGAGCGAAAATAAACAATGATAGAAAATGGTAAAAAAATTGCTTTCCGAGTCTACAAAAAAAAAAAAAAAAAAAAAAAAAACAATAATTTTCCATAGACTGTGTTATCGGTGTATTACACGAGTATATAAAATATTATGTATAAACGCCCGGCGAGTACGTCGCACCAACAACAATATTAAATATTACGATTATCAATAATACCTGCCGGTTCGTTGCCTACATTACCCGTCCTTAATTTCAATTACCGTCGGGCGTTGGTTGGGATATTTGTTTTTTTTTTTCGTATTAAACAAAAAGAAAAAAAAAAAACCATAACTCCCTCGGAGATGACGGAAAATTTATATATATATATATAAATATTTTTTTTTTTTTTTTATTTTCCATATAAACTATTGCTTTTAAAAGCTTATTTATATGATAATATATAAAACGCGGTGTGGGGCGCGACGCTGTTCGCGCGGTTCTAAATACACGGGTATATCTATTTATAATGTGATATAGTTACGGGTGTATACGGTTTCGATACGTAATTTCGTTAAGCGGACGGGGGTTGAAAAATGCAAAAATATTAAACGCGGCGGGTGAAATGATGAACTTCCGTGCAATTATTCATTTATGTACGTAGCCGCGTATAAATTGTTTTATTTTTCACGTTCTTAGCCGCGCGCGGTTTTTCGTAATTGTAAAAAAACGCGAAACGTCTCTACCGGTCGTTTTTCACCGTCGCCGTCGTCCGCGCGACCGATAATTCCTGTTCTCTCGCCCGCCCGCGCCGGCCAGCGTTCCGGTTAACCCCGACCGCTGCCCAAGCGCGGTTAGCGGTCGTACTCGCGATATTATTATTATTATTATTTTTTAATTTGTCGGATCGCCGCCGCCGTTGCAGGCGCAGACGCCCGGTATTCGTTCGGCGGACGTCATTATTTACACGACTGGCGCCGATCGGCGCGAACGCGTAGACACCCCCGAAACCGTAATAATTATTACCGGTTATAATTATTTGATTACGACGACACGGTGATTTTGACAGAACGCGCAGACCCGTCGAACGCATTAATCGTGTCCCGCACCCAACGGCCGCGTCGTTGTACGGCCGTACGGGTACCGTGCACGCGAGTATGCGAGTGGTATGGCGCGGTGGTATTGCAAATCCGGCACGTTTGAAATTCCATAACCCGCCGTCGCGGTGAATAATTTCGCGCGCATCGTTTGTTGGCAATTTAACGGCTAAATTCAACACGTCGCTGTCAAAAACCTACAACATCCGCCGGAACGAGGTTGTCCGGTGTGTTCGTACAGCGGGGAAAAGAAAAAAACAACAACTAGGGGCGGACAGGCCCACCGGGACACCGGAATTTTCTCGGTGGTCCGCCACTTATATTAACGAAAATTGTATGAATTGTTGTAGAAACGAATTATTTTGATTCTATTTACAATTATTATGTTATCGATCCTATTTATTTATAATATTAATAGTTATTGAATTTTAATAGATTGGTCTATACATTTTGTTTTATAATTATTAATTATTTAGGTAATTCTTATGATTTTGAATTTGACGATAGGTGAGTATAGAAGATTTGATTCAGCAAATTCTAAGTCATTAAAAAGTCGTGCAGATTTTATAGTTACGCAACCCCTTATAGTTTTTTCAGATTTTTTCAATATTTTTTGAGTTATTATAGTGGTTAGTCTTATTAGACTATTAACAATTTTGTTCTACTATCCAATACTAACGGGATATTATAACGATTAGGCCGAAAAAATGAAAACAGCTAATTGTACCCATGGACGAATCCAGGATAATATAACGGGGGCGAGGGGCGATTTCGAAAATGCTTATAAAGCACACATTTATGACGAGCTCAAAGATGAATCTAGCTAGGAGTATAATGCAGCTAAAAGTGTATTGGAGAGTAAACGGGGTTGATGGGGGGGGGGGGTTATCGTCCCTATTTCCCTCCCTTGAATCTATCCTTGAATGTACCTACTAAGTACCTATGATTTCATAAACATACACGATTTGTTAAAAATTAAATCTAACCATTAATTTTTTATCAATTCCAAGCATGGATCCTACTAGACTATTTCTCTTTGCCTGAGTAAAAACTGCCTGTCTTCTTCAATATTTATAATATTCAAAACGTTTTGATGGACAATATTAAAAAGATCATTTAAAGTACCACAAAACTGTAACTCTCTTTGTTTGAATTTGTCATTTTTTTCGTTTTTGTTTTTTAATAGTTGTCGCCAATTATTATAAATATTTTTTAATTTATCTTTGCATTTGTGAGTATCTCTAATAGGAATTCTTGCCTTCTTCCAAAAAACTATACACTCGTCAACAACAAGACGGGCACTATCATTCAAATTTAATTTAGAGATCCTCATATTAAAAAATAAAACTCGTAAACAGTCACCAATTGACGGTAATTTCGAACCAGTTATTTGATGTTTCATATTACCAAGAAGAAAAATTTGTTCACGATTAGGCATTTTTAAGAATATACGTGAATGATATGATATATATTAAATATGTAAATAAATGCACTTTTCAAGAAAAAAAAAAAATATTAATACTATAATACTATATAACAACGCTAATAACTCAATATTCTCGATAGACGAACGTTTACGAACTAATAAAAAGGTACTAGGTACTCTATCGATTTTAAGTTGTGTATGATTCAAATATAAAATAACCCAACTATTATCATTGTTTAGATATATGAAGATTAAATTTAGATTTAAAACTGATCATTATATTGTTATTTAATATTTATATGAGAAGTTACTTATCACATATATTAAACGTAAACATTTAAACGTATAAACTAGATATTACCAGGTATTTTTATAACATATTTTATTATTTTTATTGGTAAGGGTGAACTATACAATGAAATGTAAAGATACGTTTTTTTTAGAAATTAATTTTAACTACAATAATGATTCTATATAATTTTTTGTCAAATATAATTTTAAGTAGTTATGCGACAAACCGTGACATTTAACATTTTTTAGTCAAACTTTGACCTTAAGTCGCCACGTATTAACTATGTTCCATTAACCTCAAACTGTTCAGACACTATTTTTTGATGCATTGGAACCGGCCAGCGCTCTTCAAAATCAACAACTTCAAAAATAAGTGGCACCCTAATATATATATATATATATATATATATATTTAATATTATATTATATGATTTTGATTTGAAAGTATAATGTACGCATATTGTTTATTTAATTATGTTATTACAAAATATCGTCGCGAAGATAAGCATGTAGGTAGTCGTAGGTATATAACAAAAGTCGTCAAATAATTTCTCGGTGGAATACTATATCGTAGGTTTATTCAAAATTAAAACATGTTTCATTATTATTACAATATACCTCTCGAGCTGCTGGAAATCCTTCTGAATCCTCCCCGAGCTGTAATACCGTATTATAAAAATAGACTGAATCCCATCACCAAGTGTAATATAACAAATATTATAATATGTGTATATAAGTATTAAGTACACGTGTACCTACACTCTAAGTAGGTATCTGTTGGTTGTACGAGATATTATATTCTAATATGTATGCTATTGAATTTATATTTAATATATACCTACAATACCTACATGCGTCTTAATTTCATTTCATTTCATTCTTTAGATTTTTTTTTTGGAATTTTTTTAAGTAAATGAAATTAAATAAACTAATACCTATGATATAATACCTGGGTACCGCAGAATAATATCCGGTAAACATACAATGTTAATAAAAATAATAAATATGAGATTTATATACATCATGGCTATGCTATAATGTATACCGGCCATTATACTAGGTATCAAAATGTATACAGCCAGAGACTAATATTTTTATGAAATGACGAATTCAACTGTATTATCTAGTTATGCTTGTTTGTATCGTATAATTTAAATTTCTAGTAGTTAATGTAGGGGCGTCCTTATAAGATCCCATCGCCCCCCAACCCCGGAAAAAATGGACTTGAATTAGCATTTGGGATAGTCATTGGTCCAGAAGTATATACAATCGACATATTATAGTTATAAACATACATCATATATTGATATATATCATATTTGACATAATATTTTTTTTTATCAATCATTAATATTAAATTTAATTATTATAAATTTAAAATAATGAATTCCCAAATAATAACCAATAAAACCTTCGCTACGCTCCGAATCTAAAATAGTCATCATTGTAAAGCCGATACGTTCCTCGCTTCAATCAAAATCTAAAATTATTGTTCGTTATCACTGAAAGATTACGAATTTTGAGCATAATAGTTTTGAATGCACTCTTTACTAAAACAACGCTCTTAGAAACATAAATAACAATAAAAAACTATTAATTGTTTTCGTAAAGTCAGAATTAATGTCATATCCAGTGGATCACTTAACCTAACCTAAGGTATAGCACTTTTTTTGAAAGTAAATATTGTCACATTGACTTGATGGTACTTTAAGAAGGTCATTTTTTTGATTTTCCAAGTAGCTTTCATAATATTAGGAAAACCCAGGATAAAACGTAAGAAAATTAAGAAAATTTGCAAAAATAATGCTTTTATTATTTTGTTTTTCGTTGTAATTCGGTTAAAAATATTCGTAGAGACTTGAAATTTGTACAGAAAACTTCTATTTAACTTTTCTTAACGTTATACAATTTTTGAGCAATTTATTTATTTATTTTTAATTTTGCGAGTTTTATTCGGTAGATACTCTGTGGATAAAATTGTTAGACCAAACAGAAATGCTTAAGAATTTAACAAGAGGTTTATTAAAAGTCGTACTTTGTAGTAAAAAAAAGTTTGAGCAGAGGCTAACTGGCTTATCACTTTTAAATGTTCATCGAAATGAAAACATTAATATAGAAAATATTGTGGATCAATCCGCTTTTAAAACGCTGCTTAAATTAAAAGTATTTTGGATTTGGTCATCTAACTTTTATTATTTTGTTATTGACATCATCATTATTTTAATTATTATTTATTTAATGTGAAAAAAAAATAACTTTTAAATTGTACTGTTGTACTGCATTTGCACAATATATCTGCTGTCTTCTAAGCTCGTATAAGTTTAAATGATAATAGACAAAGATTTTAAGTTTTCGTTGATCAACGCGATGGTATTTAAGAGTAAAAATTGTTCGCTCCCCCCCCCCCCATGGAATTTAGCCGAAGACACCCTTGAGCAATATTATTAACCAAACTCCGCTCAGAATCGTTTTTTGTTGCCAATGCTTAAATTTACTTAGGTATACATTAAATTTCCCTCAATATCCTACCTTCCCAACTTCTCGTCTATAACAGTAGTCCACCCATCGTGCGAAGTGTGTCCGTTTTTTTCTTATCAATCATTAATATTAAATTTAATTATTTCGCCACTCCCCCACCCCCACATAGTCAAGGTCTAGAAATGCCTCTGGTAAGTATATCAATTTTTATGAAAAACATAAAATAATTTGTTACCACTAAACCCGTCTATTTGAGGCGTTAATGTACATAAAAAAAATGTATCCGATTGCTTGAAAATAAACTCATAACTAGTTGAAAATTTGTTTGAAAACCGACAAATTGAATATTTCCAACTATCGCGCGGAATATACATATATCGTTTAATCACATACCAAATGGTATATGATATACAGGGTGCTTCTTTTATCATAATCCAATATACCAGCGATTATCTATGAAGATTTCGAGTACATTATATTTTGGTTTTTTCCGGTCATTATTATCGTCAGTAGTCAATATTTTATTGTATTAAAATATTTCCCCTTATTATGTATCGTTTAGGTCGATACTTTAACTACTAATACCGTCTATACACGTCGTTATTGTTTATATGCGAGTTATAAAAGTTTAAAATTCAGGCCGGAGGAGTAGAGAACAGTTATCTTAACACGGATACGAAATTATTGTAAATTATTATAAATATGGGTCGTCAAATTTGACGAAAATTGATACGGTGTACGGATAAAAATAATTATTTTCATTCGTCTTTCCTGGCACTTAATAGCTCCCTACCTACTGTCTAAGGTTTCACGTCACATGATCAAAATATACCTCGACCCACTTCTCTCGATCTTGGACTATCCCTCTCCATTCTCACTCTCCCTACATACTGTGGTCCTCTTAGACGACATCCAGTCATCTTTTTATGCGCCGATTTTTGAGATATTTTCCCCATTGCTTTCCAATTCACGACTATACGGTTACAATACATTGTTCTCACCACACCGCATCGCATGTCCCGGCTATTAAATTCTCTGTCCAGTCACGCATCAAACCACGACTGTTGGCATTTCCTCATCTCTTTTTGTTAAATTTTCCTTTTCAGCATCTCTTCCTCGTTACTATTATAATGTCATCCATATTATTATATTCAAATTATTACATTACGTTGTGCGTTATAATATTTACGGCGAACGGACAATCCGCAATGAAATTTACTCGAAATAATCTTCGTTATAAGACAATCGCGGGTCCGTCATAAAAGTATCGCCTCTGTAAACAGCGAATTAAGTACCCGCATTGATAATTGTGATATCCGTGCATGTGCCGTATTGATTGTACGCCTGTAACCGTACTTTTGTACCTAACCGATGTTTTGATTGTCGTGCGTTTGTGTGTCGCAGGTAAAAACTATGCTGTTGTGTCTCTTACCAGTGGCGTTGACGTTGGCCGCGTTGGCGGCCGACGGTGCCGAGGCCCCGGAAAGGTCCGGGTTGTCCGTGTACTCAGACGACCCGATGACCAGGCGCAGTACGTCGTACATACGGTTCGGACGGGGTGGGCTGCAGGACGCGTCACGTTGGACCAAGCGCTTGGATCCGCATTTCGTCAGGCGCAACGATTTCATACGGTTAAGCCGTTCGAACAAGAACGGCTACATACGGTTCGGTCGGGCGGGGAAACACGCGACGCCCTGGCAACACTACGACGACGACGTGTTGGACGATCATCAAGTCGACGTCCGGTTCGCAATCGCAGCGGGTGCCGCCGATGACGACGGCGACGACAACGACAACCGCCCTTAAACGAACATCGCATATTACCCGACACCCATATTATTATCAACCTAATACTCACACCAATATTATATTACCATTATCGTTATTATTATTATTATTATTATTATACCATTATACCGCAACTATATTATACCACTATTACCGCTAAATTATATAATATTATAGACTTGCAATGCCTATATTAATACCCGTACGTATAGGGGTCGCCAATTGTCCAGCGTTATGCCTTTCAATAGCAGGACGCCCAAAATACAATATTATACGTCCAGATTATTTTTAAACTTGTTTAGGCTCCCTCCAAAATCCGTTCGATTCGCCGATACGAAACATTTTATGATTTATCTAAACGAACAGAACGATAAAAACAATAATGTAGACATTACGTTTTCATAATTTTTCTTTTTCGACATTATTAAAATACTAATATTTATTTTCAATTTTGATCACAGAAATTTCAGAATATCTTAGAAATGATATTATTATTATGTACCTACCTATACATATAAATTGTACACGAGTATTGTATTCGGATTTATTTATTACGATTGTTTATTAAATTATATCGTTTATTTATGGAAAAATCGTCGTTTCGCGTACAGTGTGTTTCTTTCGTAAAAGTTGGCAACCCTACTCGTATAATACTAAGCAACACATTGCAAGCATAAGTACCTACATTACATATTATAATAATATTATGAAAGTATATATTATGTATATTATTATAAAATACATGTTCTGTATACGTGATGGCTAAAATATCTTATCACCAAAAATGTCTGGTTTAGTCCCACCCCCCTCCCCCTCAAAAAAAAACCTATTATTTTACATTCACTATATATATATTGTATGAGAAAAAATCTATACTTATTACTTATTAGGTACCTAAGTACTTTTGTATTGAGCATGACAGTATGGACGGTAAAAAATAATACTATGGCCTTTTACAATATTTTTGCAAAACGTGGAAAGAAAATATACTAATTAATATAGGTATGAAATAAAACATTGAGTTTAATGATGAAATATTCTTAGTGTTTGGATCTTTTATTTATTGTTTTGTTACTAAGTATTAAATTTGTCCAACTCCTATATATATATATATTCATCCCATATATTTATAATACCTAACATGGTCGCAATTATGTTGCGGGGTAAGGGGGTCCAAGGATACTAAACCCCTCGGGATATTCATTCAAAAGTAGAAAAACGTAAGTAATCGAAATGATAACATAATTATTATTTAATATAGAAGAAAGAATAACGAAGTAAAAAGGTCAACGATTTAGTTGGCGTACAAATTTGAACCTCTCCCCCGAAATTTGTTAGCCTTGCATGTACTATACTACACTACTACTACACTGTACATCAATTCATTATGTTGTCATAAAAACAATATTGATTCAAGTAATGAAATGTTGTCTATTCTTCAGAATAATATTCAACCATCTAACAATAATAATAATACCACTAGTAATCAATAATTGATATCATACCTATAGGAATTATTAATAGTCATCTATGTAATTTACGATTTCGAAAAATGATCTTCGTTATTATAATAATATACAATTGCCTAATAATAATTACCTATATAGTTTAAGAATGAAAAAATTATCACTATCATTTTAATTGTAAACATTCAAAATATATAACTTTATATCTCTGGCTTATAATATTTTATACATTAGTCAGGTATAGCAGGTATATTATATGATTTATGTAATAATATTATTTATATACTCGTAAAATTATAACAGTATAATATTAATAGTAGAGATGTATAACATTATAATATACGAAGTTGTAGAAAACGAAATAAAATCATTTCGAAATGGCATTTTTTTTTTTTAAATAATTGTTTTACAATAAGATGCAAAATATTATTATTATGGATTTCAGACTGAGAGAAAAGAATTCGTTATCTCCCAGCCAACAAAAATCGTATTTAAGAGGTCAAAATGCATGAGCTAAAATAAACGTCCAAAATGTATTTAAATATTTTAAATCCATTATCTACAAATAAATGACTAATATAGTTCTTACACGAAAGATAAATAAATTAATAATAAATGGTAAGAAAATTGATCTTTAGTGGAATTATTGAAGTATAGTCTAACAAAAAGGTATTGAGTCTACCAAAGTCTTATATTATACTCAAAAGTATACGTATAAGTTATACTTAAATTTTTAATAAAACTTAAGGAGTATACTGTGGCAATACAAACTCATTACTCATTACAGCAGGTGCTCCAGGTCAGTTTACATGTTTCCCTTGTGTCGATTATGTAATAAAACAAAAGAAATGTTGTAAATTTTACCAGCCGCTAAGATTGATATTTTGCCTTCAGCTATTTTTGTTAAAGTTTAATCTGTGTTACAATCTTTCATAATGGCGTTGTGAAACCCAACTATAGAGTGTGTTACATTTTAAAACTGATGACATTTTAAGCACATGGGTTTCAGACCAAAGTCAATTTTTGGTTAGTAAATATCAATCTAATACTTCATAATTTAGATAGGTTCAACCATATTATATTATTTAATATTCGTCCATTTGTTTATCTAAATGTTAATTTTAGTAGTTTTAAATATTATCTCTTAGATATGCTACAAAAGACCTAAATTACGATAAGGCGCCATACCTATTGACCGACATTTATTAAATAATGTATCTACTTCAAATATTATGGTATACGGTATTTTGATTTTACTTTTAAAAACAATAACAATAACATTGAAAATGTGTTTTGTTACATTGAAAAAATAGCCAGATGAGCAAGTAGAGCTTAGGATATGACGTATAATTAATGAGTTTTCATCAGTCAATATGAGTACATAATATAGTGATTGAGTCATTTTGGTACAAGTATGAACTCATTATTTGATTGTACAATTGTATAAAATAAAAAATTCCACCAAAAAGCCGCTAGATAGCGCCAGTAATTACACAACGTTTTGACGACTCAGTTGGATGGTCTTAAAAAATATAAATAATCATAGTTTGTAAATTTATAAACTATAATAAATAATAATTAACGATTAAACCTATAAAAACATTTTTCTTTATCTAGTGTAGTGTTTATGATTTAATGTAATTAAATGCTTATGTTTATAGAATTAAACTAAAACAGATAAATTGTAAATAAACTTAACGTCCTTCATCTTAAATTATTTATTGAGTGTCCACCAAAATAAGTTTTTATTTCAGATTTATAATTATAATCAACAATTTTTATTGTTTTAATCACCGATATATTATATTTCATGGAGTAGTATAAAATTTCATGGACCAATCAATCGATTTTGCTCTTTTCGCATATGGTTCTTTTATATATCAATAGAACGCACCGAATGTATTGGTTCAGTCCAAATTTTAATTTAAATGACTCTCCCAAAGCTTGCATGGTCATGCTTCATTAAAATTAACAATAAATTTGTCATATGTAAACTTTGCTTTCAGGTAGTTAAATACCGTGGATATTTTTGCTGTTTGATGAACCATCTAATAAAACATCATTCAAAAGTTATTGGATCAAAGGTAATGAAAAGCAATGTTCATTTAATTTAAAAAATTATTATTATACTTAACAGTTATTTATTTAAGTTTATAAGTTTATAAGTTTATTGAAACTGAAAGTTATAAAATGTTAACAAAATTTTGACCATACGTTTAACAATATGTGTCATCCCTCGTCGCTTCCATTCATTTGGCTTATAACCAATTGCTAATTAAACATTAAACTGCAATAATTGGACTCGATTTCGAAAAGGTAAAATAAAGTCACCCGATTTAACTGTGATATAAATATCTTACACACGCTCGTAAGTTCTAATGCATACATAATGTCGTACGTCATGCATGACGGAGCGTTCTCTCGCTCGCTCCATCGCTCCCGTTCTATATGGAAAATTCTGCCTTACTGAGTTCTCCAATGTATTGTACGTCATCAGCATCCTCTGACGTAGTCCACTCTGGCCATAAATAATAGTCATTTAACTTGACTTTAATTTTTTTTTCATCTATTAATACATTATATTGGATTATAATATACATTATACAATACTCACTCTTGCGTAATCAAACCCGGGCTTGCCCGCATTATGACCTATGGACCTCAACCAGATAAGCCATGCCACGCAAGCAGCTTCTCATCAGTCCTTCACACTGTAGACACAAGTTCCCCTAACAAACCAAGTAAGCTTAGTCTAATTCAAGGTCGTATAGACTGGTAGACCTTCAGAACCCAACTCAATCACCAAATTAATCTTAACACTAGTCTACAATTACCTCAAGACATAAATTTCGCTATTAATACCCTGACAATGTCTATTCAACAAGCAGCATAATCCTGCTTTACTCCAAATTAATCCAACAAATCTGCCTATTATCTTCCACAATTCGTCAGAACCATAATCTCGGAAAAAAGGAAAGCCCGCGCTATGTGGCAAAGAACCAAATATCCCTCCGATAAATAACTATTCAATCACCTAGCCAATAAACTGAAAATAATCTTAGCTAAAATCAAATCTGACAACTTTAAAAATCACCTTGTGTCTTTATCTATCACCGACAACACTCTTTGGAAAACCACAAGGAAAATTCTTCACTCACAATGCCCTGTCCCCCTTTTGAAAAGTCTGACGGTACGTGAATTATCAGTTACTTAGAAAAATACGATCATCACTTCTGAAGTCGTCTCCCAACTATCTAAAAATGTTATATTATCACTCACGCACATCTTTAACTCAATACTCAGGCTTTCATACTTTCTAGTTTTTTGGAAATTCCCGATCATAATTACGATACTAAAGCCTTGGAAACCCTCTGATTCTCCCAGCTCGTGTATGCCAATCAGCCTTTTATCTTTCTTTTCCAAAGTATTTGAAAAACTCACGCTCAAGTGTTTACTCTCAGTCATAGAAGCACTTTTCCCAGACAATCAATTCGGCTTCCGTAATAACAATTCCGCTATACACCAATTCATCGCATAGTCAACAAAATTTCCTATGTCCTTGAAAATAAACTAGTTTGTACAGGCGATTTCATGGACGTAGCTCAAGCTTTTGACAGGGTTTGGCATCATGATCTTCTTTTTAAATTAAAAAAAATTATTTCCCACCAACTTTTATTTGATCTATAAATCTTATCTTAAAGACGGACACTTTTCTGTACGATAAATCTTAATCTTATCTGACATATCTTTAATCAGAGCTTAAGTCTCACAAGGAACTGTAGCAGTACTTTTCTTATTTAACTTTTACACATCAGACCAACCCACATTCAAATATATTGGAAACTTCGCTGACGATTAAGTTATCCTGCCCCTCCACCATAAACCTCTTGAGGCATCAAACAGGACCCAGACTCACCTCAACATGTTGTCAGCGTGGTACAAAGAGCCCCTCTCTTTTAAAGTTAATGAATTGAAATTTATTCACTGCACATTTACGCTCAGATATATTTTCTGACCCTCTATCACACTCAACAACCAATCTCTCCCAACTACTCAAAATGTTCGCTACCTCGGTCTATATCTAGATCGCCGTCTTCCTTGGGCTATCTACATACGTAACAAACGACTAATCCTTAAAAACCGTCAAAGGCAGCTTCACCTCTTTCGTCCAAACATGTTACACTTCATAGTAAAATTTTACTTTACAAGCTTCTCCTCAAACCTATCTGGTCCAACGGCGTTCAACTTTGAAGTTCAGCCTAAAGACTCAAACATAAACAGAATCAAAACCTTCCAGTCCAAATGTCTTAGATAAATAACCAAAGCTCCTTTTTATGTGTCAAATGATACCCTCCTCATTCCGTATGTTAAAAACATGACTAAAACACTTTACAAACGCTTCCATCTTAAATTAACAATTCATCGTAACCCCCCTCATCCAAAACCTCTCTTCCCAAATTTTTTCTAGGTTTTCCCATATTTTTTTCGGGTTTTTTCCATTTGTTGGGAAAACTCTTGGAAAAATAAAAAAATTACTTCCCTAAAGTACAACCTCAGTTAGATTTTCTTCTAAAAAAAAATGTTATCATTGTAAATTGGAGCAAATTGCTGGTAGAATAGTTGTCAACAGAAAAAAAAAAAAAATAAACATCATTGTAAAATTAATACATTCTTCTCTCTCTACTCAGAATTTAAAATTAATATTATAAAATATTGACATTTGTAATGAAAAATAAATAATCCTACAATCAGACACGAATGCAGGGGAATGTTTTGGAAGTTTAAACACCCTCCGAAATTGTTGGCTTTTTTGTATGGTTATTTACTTAATCCATTGTAATGTTATATTATTGTTCTAATTTTCCACTCCCGACCACCCGAATTTTTTTTTTTGCGTTCATCCCTGCAATTGAAAATATGTAAACATTTTTGTTATAGAATTACGACCTTAAACCCCCCTATAATATTTTTTTGTAAACATACCTGAATACATGTGAATCTTCATTTGGATTTCCGAGATAAACAATTGTTTATTTATCTCGATGTGTTTATTATTATGAATTTACGACAAATCCCTGGCTGAGTATACAGACATACGTTTATTATCTTAAATAATAAATGTTAATAATAGTGTTAACAATTTAAAAATCAAACTCCTAATTCCTAATACCTATTATCATTGTTATATTATCACAAATTGTATTTATCTAATCTGTGTTTAAACGCTTTGACAACAATCATGATAACAAGGTAACAGAATAACAGATAAACAAATTAAAAATTAATGATAATAGTTACGTGCAATAGAAAATCTAATACATGTGGTCAAATTATTATTTAAAACTTAATAATTTAATTAAGTATTGATTTCTTTTTATTCATTTTAGTTTTCTAATTGCAAAAATGCCTACAAATGTATATAGGATTCAAGGTCCTGAAGGAACCATTCCATATCAACAATACCTAATCAATAAAAAAAATACTAAACTTAACGACATTTCCAAAGCGCTAATAAAGAATGTACGATATGACGGGAGAGATTTTTTAACACATAGGCAATTATGTAAAAATTTAATCTTTTTCTTTAATATATTTATTTTTTTGTAACTTCTAACAGACCATGAAGGCCTTTTGCTACTTCAACCAAATCCTTCCAAAATCCTTATAATCCGCTTCTCTCAAATTTGCTATTTCATTAATTTCCTAAAAATACTTCTAATTCGATTTAGCCAATATTAATGCAGCACTAATATAGAATAAATATATTGTATATATACATATATTTTTTTTTATCAAGGTATCAAGACTGGCATTGTTACCCAAGCCAAAGGATCAGCTTATGTAGAATGTGGTCATACAAAATTAGTGTGTTCTGTATTTGACCCAAAAGAAGTTCCAAACAAAGTAGAGTATGCTAAAACAGGAGAACTTCAGTGTGAATTTAAATTTGCCACATTCTCTTGTCGACAGCGGCGTAACTACATGAGAGATCCAGAAGAAAGACAATTGTGTAACGAATTACGGAGAGCTTTAGAACCTGCTATTTGTAGAGTAAGTGCTAGATATTATGTTAAATTGAGATAATACATTGAATTCTCTTAATTTTGTTTAACTCTTAAATAATATATATGTATTTAGATTGTCATTTAATCAATATATCAAACTAGGTATAATAATACTATGTTAAGAAAAAATGATATTATACAAGTAGCAAGCTAAATGATAACTACTATAATCATTTAGTTTATCATTAAGTTAATAATTTGCATTCTGAACTACTAATTATTTTATTATTTGAAAATTAAATTTAAGTAGGTATATTTAGTTACTTCCATCATTAGCTAGCATTTAAATATAATTTTGAAAACGGAATTGGCAAAATTTCCTTAAAGGTTTTAGTTGTGGATTCCAAACAAAAATATTTATTTAATGTTTTCAAAATAATAAAACCTTAAAAAATATTTGAAAATCTATATGTACAGATATTTTAAATTTGTAAAATTACAATTAAATGAGGTTATTACATTAAAGAGGTAATTTCAAAAATATTTCTGGTTTTTTTTCTAGAGATCTATTCTGTAATAGTAAATAGGTAATAAGTAACAATTGAATATTTATTTATGCAACTAATATAGTGGTGTCACTGATTAAAATTTCAATACCAAATATTATGAAAATAAAAATAAATTGTTTGATTAAGTAATATGAGTTATTCTTATGTATTTGTAATACAAAGTATATCCAATAATAAATGGTAAAAATAAAAAACCATTTCAATATAATATATGCATTTTATTTTTTATTACTGTAATAATATATTTTATGTTACGTAAATCTTTTTTATTTAGTTTAACATACTTCAACAATTGTTTATTATCAAGTATTGACTACTACTATTGGCTTAAATATAAAACCAATTCCCAATACCAGTATTTTATTTAATACATGGTTCCAGTGATATTGGTACCTATGTAACTGATATTTACTGTTAGTCTATCTTCAATAATAATACTTTAATGTACCTCTAGAAACAAGTTTAATTGAATATTTTTATTTCATAGGGTGAATTTGCAAATTTTGAAATTCAAATCAATGTTTTAGTATTAGAAAATGATGGATCAGTTTTGGCTACAGCAATAACAGCTGCAGGACTTGCACTTATGGATGGATGTATACCAATGTATGATGTGATTGTTGCTACTTCATTGGTTTGTTATTATTAATGTATTTTATAAAATTTAAGTAGTACATCATGGGTTCAAAATATCGTCCTAACACTCCTAAATAATTTGTTATAAATTATCTATTTTTTCTGTTTAATATTTATTAAAGTCTGGATGAATAGATAAATAAATAGATTTATTAAAAAGTTTTGATATGATTTTAGTTTATCAAACTCACAAAAATTAAATTAAAAAAATGTATATATAATAATTGAAAAACTAATAAATTTGGTGGAAAGTTTCAAATTTATAACAATTTAAATTAGCGTATATGGCACATTGGGGTAATAATAATCTATAATATTCATCACACCTGTAATCCTACATAAAAAGGTTTAGATTTATAGTTTGTACGCTACCTTTTTTTAGTTTTAGTTGGATTTAGCTGTATTTCATCAAACAAAGAGTGACATGTAATAGAATGGTTACATTTACAGCCATACCACTGCAACCTTCAATTAATTGCTATAGCTTTTGATTTATAAATTTTCATTAAATTTTAATTGCACCATCATTCTTATAGAGTTGAAATAAATTCTTTTTCATTGGGGTTTACTGAATTAAAATTGTTCCAGTATTACTTAAAATTAAAATAGTTATGTAGGCCCAAAATAATTATTTTGATTGTTAAGATTTTTAGCAAACTTTTATGAGAATAGACAGCCATTTATCAGTATGCATCTGAATTATGATAATCTATGTATTTTACTTATAATTGTTTTAAAGTTTGTTTTTTTTTTGCATAGGGCATTTACAAAAACAAGATTTTAGTTGATCCAACATTTGATGAAGAAACATTGTGTTCAACTATTACAGAAAAAGAAGAGAATAGAGGCACTGTAATGTTAGCGTATATGAAAAATATACAACAAATTACGGATTTTGCTCAAAATGGATCAATAAATGTTAACATGTTTCCAGAGTATGTTCAAACATTGATTGACCAAAATTGTCAGCTGTACAAAATAGTAGTCTCTGCTGCCAGAAATGATGTAATAGACTATTTTGAAAATGAAAGTCAATAATAAAGAAAACTGTTTGGTTTCTTAATATTATATCTATAATATTCTAAATTAAAAAATAAGACACAAGACATAGCTAAATTTTTTTTTCATGTTGAATACTTTTTTTTAATTAAAATTAAATTTAAAAAATAAACTTATGTTTATTACAGATTATACCATTTATTCATCAGGTTTTTCTGGTGGAGGACCGCATGGCTGTAACATTTTTTCCATTAAATTGAAACGTACTCTTGCTTTAGCTTCATTTTCAGCAATTGCAAACCAATTTAATAAATCATAATGGCCTAGATATGAAGCGCACGAGTCACGGTGTTGATTTACTTGCCATTCAAATTTTGTGGTATCTGCATGTCCTGTACCAATATATTTGGACTGCAGGTGCTCTAATTGACTATGAATATTGTAACGGTCACCCATAACTATCTTTGAAATAAAACAGTAAAATTAGTATGTAATAACGAAAAACAAATAAAAAATTAAAGCTGTTTTAAATGTGTCATTGCAATTTTATACAAAATCAATTTTCGCCGTAAACCTTCAGCGCGAGTGTACATTTGTAAGAGTTCTTTATTTGTCTCAACTGGCTGTGTGTAATTATGAAGCGGTATTCTGTTTAAATGTTCTTCATCAATGTTTATTGTCTCTGGTAAATCAATTTCTGACCATACTAGTTTTCTTAGTTCAACACTATGTTTTCTTTGTAGAGGGAGTAATACATAAGCTCCAAAAACTGGGTCAGAATATGACACACTCATATAATGTTCACTTAGTGTTTTGTAAAAATCATAAAACGACTCAATTCCGGGTATAGGGTCTTTGAAATTCAACAATTGGTTTTGTGAAGCGTATATATGCCAAATTTGATTTAACACAGATTTGACTTCATGAAAAATAGTACCACGACGACCACACATAAATGCACAAGCAACACGACAGTAGCGTGCAGCCAGTGGAGTCTGGTTACAAATTTCTGAATAATGTGTTTCCATAAACAAAACATTAGTCAATGCTTCTTTAAGAAGAGTTTCTCCTTCTGTAGAGCTTTTGAAATTTTTAGAAGTTTCATGAATTTTCAAAATCGGTAAAAATAACCAATCTTTTGGTAAAACAGGATTTAATTCTGTAATTAATATACTTGCCTGTGTGCTTTTGGTATTGGGTATTAATAAATTATAGAATGATTTTAAAATTTTAAAATTATATTCATGTTTAATGCATTCCACATAATTACTATTAAAGTACAAGTCGAAAGTGTAACACAATTCTTCTGTCATGTATTTTGGTATAAACGGCAAAAGTGTTACAGCAATTTTATGAATTAAGTCTGTTTTAAAATTATTGTTCACCAAAGTTTTGAGAGTGCACATTATAAATATTATTTCATATTTACTATACCAGTGTGATACTTCTATAGGAGATTTCATTAATTTGTTTAAATATGTCCAAAATTGTAAAGGCACATTAAAATTTTTGGGATTCTTATCAATGAATTTCATTAGTCCAATTAACATGAACAAAGGTTCTCCTTCATTTAATAATAGATTTATGTATCCAAGATTGGGATAGCACTTTGGACTATTGTTCACATAATTGCTCGTCAACCATGATTTTTTACATAGTATTTCACAAAAGTTTCCAAAATGTTTATCCAAATATGTAACTGCTTTCAAAGAAACAGATTCAAATTTCAAATTTTGAGAACTGAGAACAGCGAAGCAGTTACCAATTAGTTTAGATGTTTCAAAATCCAGTAGATTCGAACTATTTATTAATTTCGCTAAAATTACTTCTGCGAGTTGATACACTGGATCAATGTAAATATGACCAAAATTTCTTAAAGCAGAATCTATAAGGCTCAAACTAGCTGACATCAGAGATAAATCAGTTTTTGTTAAATTTGCACTTAACCCAACTGAATGATCAACAAATTTTAATACTAGATTAGCTAGCTCGGTAATTGTTTGCCCAGCCAATTTGTATTCAAAAAAAGTTTGCCATAAGTATAAACATTCTAATAACAATGGTGTTTTAGTTGGAATATTTATATATTTGAATATAAAATCTAGGATTTTTAATTCTAATACTTTTAAAGCACATTTAACAGACTGACTAATAATTACTCGAGTAAGGAATACAAAGGTTTCTGAGAGGTTATCAGACTGTAAGTTAGTAAATACTAATTTATAAATATGTTTATACAAATTAGTTTCTACAACAGCAATTGCATATGTTTCACCTCGAGAAGCAATGCCGGTGAAAATTTCTGAGATATCTACAAGACTATTCAATCCTACATTCATATTGAAAACAATATATTCTAATCTTAAAATTAAATCAGTTCTCAGTGCACCTTGTATAAGATCTAATACAACTAAATCAAAATCTGACAATTTATCCAATTCTTGTTGATCAATTTCGGCTTCTGCCACCGTGTAAACAGGTAAAGCAATATCACAATTACAACCAGATAAACTGGTTAACACTTTGCGATCCGATTTTCTGGAAAACAAATTTGCTAAAGCTTTCAATGCATTTGTAATAATTGCAATGTTGGTGTCGTCTAAAGCCATTCTAAACAATATAAATACTCCAGAATTTGTTAAAGAACATAAAAGTGGTTCAGTTAAAACTGAATCATATTCATGAGCATTGACAATTATTTTTGACAGTACATCTAAGGCTAGTATTCTTTGGGGAGCATGATTTTTACGAAGAAACGAATAAAGTTCATCTATGGTATAACCAGGACGATGCTGTTCTTCCCCATGATGATGTAAACCATCAACTGTAGTTTTATTTTCTATTATATAAGGTAAAAGTTTTCCATCCAAACCAAAGCGAGCAGTATAAACATCTGGGTTTTGATTTTCTACATTTACATCACCAGTCCATCCAAGTTTTTCCTCTTCAATTACATCCATATTCAAACCACTGTTAACTAGTTCTTTTATATGCGATAAATTTTTAGTTTTATCTTCTGTTATATTTTGAGACTTAATTAATTGAACTCTCTCACTATCTTTTTGTTTAAAACCATATTTACCAATCTTGCAGTCAGTATTTCGTTTAGATTTCAAAAATGCAATTAATTTATCATCCATGCTATTTAATAATTCAGATTTTGCTTTCAATATTTCTTCAACACTCATACTAGTAAGTTTTTCAACATTCTCTTTATGTATATCGTTAGCTTCAGCACCACATAGTATAACACTATTGGCTCCAAACGAATTTTCACTTAATTCAGTTTCAGCATTTTCAAGTAATAAATTATTTTGTCGGTTTGTCTTTTTTTGCATTTTTAAAGCAAAAAGACTGGGTTTCCGTGAATTGGTTGTCATTTTTACCTAGATACAAGGATGCTTAATTTCACAAATATGTACAAGTATATTCTAAAACTTTTTTAATTTGTATAATAAATTACATAAATATAATACAATAAATTACCTTTTGTATTTCGTTAATTTGCAAGGATTACACAATTATTAATTTGCTGTTACTAAATTTCGTTGATAAGTATATTATACTGTTTACATTTTCAATTTTTCATATGCATTATAGAATTTTTAATTTTGACTTGTTTATCACAAACAACATAGTCCCGTTCATATAATTTACTATTACTGTTGGTCATACTGAATTCAGACAATCGGTAATTTTGTGTTTTGGACACGATTTAAGATTGATATCTTAAATTTTGGTTTTTGGAATCGAACTATCGATGTGGTTAGCAGGAGCCGGGTCGTAACTCGCAAGTAGCTCCACTATAATATTACCATCTCGTTTACTCCATATTGCACTGTACCATCAACGCAGGGTTTATAGATAATATAGTATCTCGTCGTGCAAAAAAAAAAAACAAATCTAGTTCGTGTTTGGGATTGTACCACGCATTATAACCGTGGATCACGATTTAAGGTCTATCCATGATATAATTATATCGTAAATCATGCCGTGGATTCACAGATATCTATATTATAATATAGATATCTGTGTGTGGATTGTACGATAACGATGAAAAAAATCGACAATAATATTATTTATTCTATGACGTCAAAATGGAGACCATGTTTTATGCGCAGTGTTATCTTACTGACATGCTTGTATATTTATTGTGGTATCTACAGCCGTGATAACTTCCTAGTACTTGCTACTTGATTTGTAATTGTAAAGTTTGTTTAGTTTATCAACTACCAGTGCGATGTAGTTGTTTGTTGTCTTATTGTTTAGTGTTCGATCGTCAAGTTATATTAATTACCTACGCATTTTTACTCTCAATGTTTTTTAAAATAATTAATACTCAATTTTAATAACCATTGAATGATTACTTTAGACCGCTGAACTCCATTGTAGAGTCACGAATTTTTTCTTTTGAAAAATGGCTTCCAGCGACTCAAAGGCTCCAGTACGAAATGTCAAACGAGTACAATTTGGTATATTGTCCGCAGACGAATGTGTTAGTTATGATTACCTATTTATTTACATTTATGTGGTTGAAATCTAACCCTTTAAGTTTAGCTCTTGGGAATTTCCATTTTCCAATTTCCCGTATAAATGTACGTGATTTTAACACTATTCTTTAGGTACCAATCCAAAAGGCAATGTTGTTAAAAAGGGTTTAAAAATTGAAAAATTGAAATTTTGACTATTGTTTTATTTGGTCACTATATTCTCAATAACATTTGACATTATTTTTAAATTTGGTTTTGATTGCGTCTGAATAATACAATTTTTCTAAGGCTGCAAACGCGCACTTCTAAACTGATCATTTAGGAAAATGGAAAATTCAATTAGTTGTCCACCAATTAGTGTGATGGGGCGTACGAAAAATTTAGAATGTATTTAGCGTTTTCTGATATTTTGAAATCATTTTTTACCCCAAGAGCCAAACTTTAACCATTTAAACTTGGCAAATACCTAATAATATATTATATGTTCAAAGTTATTTCCGATAATTTTTAATATGTTAAGTATTATGATCTCAATTATAGCGGCGTATGTCGGTCACAGAAGGGGGCATTCGTTTTTCAGAGACAATGGAAGGTGGACGTCCCAAGCTTGGAGGACTTATGGACCCCCGACAAGGTGTTATCGATCGGTTTTCTAGATGTCAAACATGCGCTGGTTAGTAATATTAAAATATTTTTTTGCATTTATTATATACCTATCTATTAAATATTAATTATTTTTTATATATTCTCAGGCAACATGACAGAATGTTGTGGTCATTTCGGCCATATCGAACTAGCCAAACCCGTATTTCATATAGGATTTATAACAAAAGTCATTAAAATTCTACGTTGTGTTTGTTTCTACTGTTCAAAATTATTAGTTACCCCCGTAAGCACAGACTAATTAAAATGAACTAAATAATCTTTTTTAATTAATGAATTAGCTTTTATAATAATATGTATTTTTAGTATTAATTTTGACGTGCAATACTATATTTTTTCTGTTGCTAATATAGACTCATCCCAAAGTGAAAGAAATTGTAATGAAATCAAAAGGACAGCAAAGAAAACGTTTAGCATTTATATATGATTTATGTAAAGGAAAAAATATTTGTGATGGTGGTGATGAATTAGATATTATTAAAGAAAACACCAACGATCCCAATGTGCCTGTAAGTAAAATATTATTTATTTGGAACAGAGAAAAACAGGTATGCGAAGTGATTTATTTAGATTAGGTTATTAATATCGGAAAGTATTTACTTTTTCAATTATTTTTTTTTAAATTTAGTAAACAAACTGCTTTAAAATTTAACATTTTTATTATTATTTTTTTTTTTTTTTGGGCTGAAGAGATTTAAACTACCTACTTTTGATTTTAAAATAGCAACTTCTATTAAAAATTCCATAAATAAATGAAGTATTAGTTAAAATAAACTTTGGTAATAAAATGTTTGATTTCTGTCAATCTGTTGACAAGATATTCCACTTTTAAGTTTGGGTAAGGAGAAAGTAGTGGAGCATCATTTGTATGGTGGCACGACACGCATCATTCCAATAATGCACCGCTACTCTCCAAACTTTACTACCACTACTTTTTCAAATTTAAAAGTGGAATATCTTTTCAATGAATTGACGTAAATCAGACATTTTAGTACCAAAGTTTATTTTAACTAATACTATTCATGGTATTTTTAATATGGGTTGCTATTTGAAAATCAAAAAAAGGTAGTTTAAGTAGTTGTCGTTTCAGCCCTAAAAGTTAGTGTAACAAAAAATAATATAAATGTTAAATTTTAAAGCAGCTTGTTTCTTAAATTTTCAAAAAAAATTGAAAAGTAGATACTTTTCAAGATATCGAGCATACCCACTTAAATGGATCACCTTGTATAATATTGTGTGCATGTTCAAAAGAAGTAATGCACAATGTCAATATGTACAATTTGCTTCAAAGCTCGAAATTCGAGCAATCATGAGATTATGTTTACGGGCGTTCCATAATGTTTTTAGATTTTAATAACTGTTAGATTTTTGATTTTATTTTAGTGGAAATAAGATATATTTAAAGAAAAAAAATTAATTTGTATTTGTTTATTTTTTGACATTTTCAAAATAGCTGATTGTTAATAGATATTATTCTAAAAATGTTAATCTATCATACATACATACATACATACATACCTAATAATTAGTTTCTTAGTAATAATAAATTTAATTCTAAAAATTGTATTAAATAGACTACCTAGTTATGCATAAGGAATCATAATAATAATACAGATAATAAAACTAGTAACTGATAATTATTTGTACAATAAGTTGTTTTTATTTATTCTATATATGTTACAATTTATTTGTTTTGTTAGAAATTAAATTTCTATTACTAAGAAACTATTAATTGGACATAAATGTATAGCACAATTAAATTTTTAGAATAATATCGTTTAAAACTACCATTTTTAAAATGTAAAAAAATGAAAACTTATTTATTTTAGTGATTAAGTTGAAAATAAAAATGTTATTTTTTCTCTGTATAATATATTAATATACAATATGTATTATATATTATATACCATGCGATTCTACATTTATATTGCAGTTATTTTATGTAAATATTAAAAATATATATTATAAGTTTCTTTGTAACAGTCAGCGTGAATTTTAAGAGTCAAGTTTTGGAATTCAAATGGGAACCTTCACTTATCTAACCTGACCTTACCTTTACTAATTTAATGTGAAGATATTTCTTATTAACAAACTTGAGTTAATAACATTAATTTATTTAAAACTATGCATAAGAATGATTTAAAGTTTTTAGAAATTGTTTTTTGTGACACATCAGTAAATAGGTAATAATATTACTAGAGCGCGGATTTCTATGCAATTGCATGTTTATTCCGATTGATCTTAAGCACAAAATGTGACATGACATAATGATTTAAAAAATGAAACTTTTTTAGTGCACATTTTTGCATATTTTGATATACTATTGTAATATAAGAACAAAATATTATATTTTTATAGTTTCGATTAATATCATAAATTAAAAGACATACTTGTAGGTATAAACAATTTTCCCTAATATGATCTTAGATCAATAATCAGTGAATTAAAATACATATATCAAGATAGGAAAATATCAATTACAACTATTGAAAATTGACATTATTTCAGTCACGTTAAAATATTTACCGTTCGTGTGAGCTTTCTGTTGTAATTTTAGTTTTTATTACTTTATTTTTATCAAAATGCCAAAAGATAAATCGTCGTTATCGAGAGTTTTATGCATTAAAACTACCTATAAAATGATGAAAATGAAGATAAAAATGAAGAAAAGTATTTACAGTAGAGTTCTATAATTTTAAATTTATTGTTTCATTAAATATTTAAAAAATATATTTTTTTTGTTAATTGTTTTATTCATATTTTTTATTTCACATTCATTTTTTAACATTTTAGTGCATAGTTTGTTGATTTTTAATGTACATAAATCTGCACTCTACTCATCACACAATTTTCTACGAACCAGTTATAGCTGTATTAGTGTTATCTTAAAATTGCTATTAATTATAGTTTTGAATAAATTAATGCTATTTAACCACTAGAATTTATAAACAAAAAAAAAGCTTCACATAAAATTAGCAAAAAAATACATAGGTTTCTATTTGATTTTCAAAAGTTTACCACCAAAAGTCTCCTTGAAAGATTATTAAAAAAAAAAAATTACAAACAATTTAAATTTACCAAACAATGTGTTACCTTTGTTCAGAATCGTTTTTTGTTTGCAGTGGTTAATTGTTACATATAGTAAACTATATTACTATATATATACTAAATTACCTTACCCTGAAAATCAACATTTTCAAACATTTAATTTTATTTATTTATCTATCTAAATATTTATGTTTTTTTTTAGCAAAAGAAACAAGGCCATGGGGGTTGTGGTCGTTATCAACCTACTATAAGGCGTTCAGGTTTAGACTTATCAGCTGAATGGAAGCATGTCAATGAAGATTCGCAAGAAAAAAAAATATCTTTGACTGCTGAACGTGTATATGAAATTTTAAAACATATTACAGATGAAGAAGTAGTAATCATGGGCATGGATCCTAAGTTTGCACGTCCTGATTGGATGGTATTAACAGTACTACCTGTTCCTCCTTTACCTGTCCGTCCAGCTATTGTAATGTTCGGATCAATGAGAAATCAAGTAACTTAATAATTGACATATTTTTAGTGTATAACAATTTTATATAAATCATGTATTTTCTTTATAGGATGATTTGACTCATAAACTGGCAGATATAATAAAATGTAACAATGAATTAATTCGCAATGAACAATCTGGTGCTGCTACTCATATTATAGCTGAGAATATTAGAATGTTACAATTTCATGTAGCTACATTAGTAGATAACGATATGCCTGGTCTGCCAAGGTAAATTAAAAGTTTTATTTTATTTTTTTATACAATATTATTGTTGTTTATTTAAAATAAAATAATTCTATTTATAAATCGTAACATAAAACCTCCTTAGAATTAATGACAGATGATTGATGTTAAACAAAACTAGCTTTGAGGACTTAGCATCCTTTTAGACTTATTGTATTTCTTTAAATTTGTATTATATACAATACATTTTAATTTATTATTTATTCTTTTATAATCTATCTTTATTTTATGTTTTTATTATTATTATTATTTTTTTTTTTTTTACTATTATGGTAAAATTGGTTTGATTTTCCCTAAAAAGATGTTTCAATATTTACAACAAAGTGTGATTATTACAATGCTGGTCAGTAACAATAAATCACAATTTCATTACCTCCAAAACATTGGTAAAATACTAAGGATGCTTCAAAAGTAAGCTATAATTTTACGCTTGGGTATGGTGTATATTAACATATTGTAATTTTTTGTCAGTTAAGTAAATAAACTGTACAATGTATATAAATAATTAAATACTAACTAATACATATTTGTATTTATAACATAATACTATAATATATAAAATGACTGGTATGTTAACACGCATGGGGATATTTTGCAACATTAATACACACACAAATTGTTATTTAAACCAAAAATTGGAAAGCTAAATTAAGTATTATATATGATCATTGTTTTTAATACATAAAAAAAAAATATAGAAAAAAATCAATGGTCAAAATTATGTTTTATTTCTGGCTAAAATTTATTTAGAAGTAGTACAAATTATAATTATCAAAATGATGGAGCAGATAAAGACAGTAAAAATTGCAGAGAAAATTAATGTTAAGAAATAAATAATGAAGTATACCTAAAAACGTGTCATTTGAAATTAGCTGTGATTTGTAAATTAATCCAAGTGAAAGTTTAAACCATTGAGCCTGACCCTAAATAGTTGGGACTAAATGCCCCAAAGAAGAGTTTATCATAGCTGATTATTAAATTGATGAAATGGTTGTAGAGAATAATTTTTATTAATCCTTGTTTTTGTTTAATCTAATTTCTTTATCTTTTAATATTAAGCCAACTTGTTTTCTTGTATTTCTTAATATATTAATTTGAAATATAAAATTATGCTTTCAGAGCAATGCAAAAATCTGGTAAACCGCTGAAAGCCATCAAATCTCGGTTAAAAGGTAAGGAAGGTAGAATTAGAGGAAATTTGATGGGAAAGCGTGTAGATTTCTCTGCTCGAACTGTTATTACACCCGATCCAAATTTGCGAATCGACGAAGTAGGTGTACCTCGTACTATTGCACAAAATATGACATTTCCTGAAATTGTTACACCATTTAACATTGATCAGTTAGTATAATTCATTGCTAAATTATAATCGAATGCAAAATAGTGTTTTATCATTTATTATTATTGTATTAACTTGATACCTATTAGTATGTTGGAATTAGTTCGTCGTGGTAACTCTCAGTATCCGGGGGCCAAATACATCATACGTGATAACGGTGAAAGAATAGATTTACGTTTTCATCCAAAACCTTCAGATTTACATTTGCAATGTGGTTATAAAGTTGAAAGACATATAAAAGATGGTGATTTAGTTGTTTTCAACAGACAACCTACTTTACACAAAATGAGTATGATGGGTCATAGAGTTAGAGTTTTACCTTGGTCTACATTTAGGATGAATTTAAGGTACTTAATTATTTTATACTTTTTATATAAATTGATCTTACTTAATAATACTTCATCTTTTTTATATCTCTATGTATTAGTTGTACTTCTCCTTATAACGCTGATTTTGATGGTGACGAAATGAATCTTCATGTTCCACAATCTATGGAAACAAGGGCGGAAGTAGAGAATATCCATATTACTCCTAGACAAATTATCACTCCTCAAGCGAATAAACCTGTTATGGGAATTGTACAAGACACTTTGACAGCTATCAGGAAAATGACAAAAAGAGATGTATTTCTTGAAAAGGTAATTACTATTTAGTAATATAAGTATTTAATACTTATGTATTATATATGTTGTAGGCATAAATACTACATACTATATACTAAATACCTAGGCAAATTGTCAAATAGTTTGATTTTAATACAATAGTACAAATATAGTTTCAAAAAAATAGTACCTTAGGACACAAAATTAAAAATATTTCATATACTAACGATATTAATAATTTATATATAATTTTTATATAGAAAAGTAATAAATAATTAATAAGAAAATATAGTTTAATTTTTAAAATTATGTGAAACATTTCATTTTTATTATTTACCTGGCTTGAAATAGGCATTTATTTAAATGTCTAGGGGGATAGTAAAATTATACAAAAATTAAACTATTAGAATACCTGCTTGCTTTGACTATATATAACACATATATGTATATATATATAACATATTTTAATAATTTGGGAGTTAAATAAAATTCACTTAACAATCAATTATATATTAGTGGAAAAAAAACTATATATATGCTACGGTTAATATTAAAAATTGAATAATGTCGAATTTTCATCCAATAAAACCGATTTTGTGCTGTTAGTTTTTATATTAGAGTGAGTTGACCTATTATTTGACTTGAAAATAAGAATAATTTCTGTGTTCGTTAGCTTTTTCCCTATATTAACATTTTTAGTAAAATAAGAGCATGTGAAATATTACAATTTAAAAACCTTTATATCTCGCTTAAAAATTATAATATTAGAAAAAAACTAACATTAAACAAACCCAGAATTTGTTTTTTTCTTGAAGTTTAAAAATAGGCCCATATATTAAACCTAACAGCACAAAATTGGTTTTGCTGAATGAAAAGAGGACATTATCCAATTTTCAACATTAACCTGTAACATAAATATATTTTAATACAATGTTATTTCTTTGTATTATTTAGGAACAAATGATGAATTTATTAATGCACTTACCAATTTGGGATGGAAAAATGCCTACCCCATGTATTCTTAAACCAAAGCCACTGTGGACAGGCAAACAACTTTTTTCATTAATTATTCCTGGAAATGTAAACATGATTCGTACTCATTCGACTCACCCTGATGATGAAGATAATGGACCTTTTAAATGGATATCACCTGGTGATACAAAGGTAAGATTTTTGAAATTAACATTTTATATTTATTATAAATTATATCTATATATTTGTCAATTTGATAACACTCAACACATTTTGAAGAACTTCTCAATCTTAATCTTCATATAACTATCAGTAATGAACATTTTTCAGTATTTATTCATTATTTTTGTATAACCTAATTAGTTAATTTGTTTCTAGGTAATGGTAGAACATGGTGAATTAGTTATGGGTATATTATGTAAAAAGACGTTAGGTACTTCAGCTGGTTCATTACTTCATATTTGTATGTTGGAATTGGGACATGAAGTGTGTGGACGGTTCTATGGTAATATTCAAACTGTGGTCAACAACTGGCTTTTATATGAAGGTAATTTGTCTTGTGTTTTGTTTTTTTATTCAATTAAATTGTTGATTTTTTGCAGGTCATTCTATTGGTATTGGAGATACTATTGCTGACCCTCAAACTTATTTGGAAATTCAAAAAGCTATTAAAAAAGCCAAAGAAGATGTAATAGAAGTGATACAAAAAGCACACAATATGGATCTTGAACCAACACCAGGTAATACACTTCGCCAGACATTCGAAAATCAAGTAAATAGAATTCTAAATGACGCCCGTGACAAAACTGGAGGTTCTGCTAAAAAATCATTGACTGAATATAACAATCTTAAAGCTATGGTTGTGTCGGGATCCAAGGGTTCTAATATTAATATTTCCCAGGTATGTTTTATTTTTTTATTTTTGATTTTCATAATTAAACAAAATTTGATTGCCTTTGTTAGGTTATTGCTTGTGTGGGACAACAGAATGTAGAAGGTAAACGTATACCATTTGGTTTCCGTAAACGTACATTGCCACATTTCATTAAAGATGACTATGGTCCAGAATCAAGAGGGTTTGTTGAAAATTCATATCTTGCCGGATTAACTCCTTCAGAATTTTTCTTTCATGCCATGGGAGGCCGAGAAGGTCTTATCGATACTGCTGTCAAAACTGCTGAAACAGGTAAATATTAATTAGTAAGAAATACACGGTCTTTAATATTTAAATTATAAAATAAAATTATATTTTTTAAAAGGTTATATTCAAAGAAGATTAATTAAAGCTATGGAATCTGTTATGGTCCACTATGACGGAACTGTTCGTAATTCTGTTGGTCAATTGATCCAATTGCGTTATGGAGAAGATGGTCTTTGTGGCGAGACAGTAGAGTTCCAAACTATTGCCACTATAGAACCATCACACAAGAAATTTGAAGATGAATTTAAATTTGATGTTTCAAATGAAAGACATATGAGAAAGATATTTACTGAAGATGTATTGAAAGACCTAATGGGCAGTAACGATACTATAGCTGAGTTAGATAAAGAATGGGAACAATTAAATAATGACAGAGATACCCTCAGAGAGATATTTCCTTCTGGTGAAAGTAAAGTGGTATTACCTTGTAATTTAAAGCGTATGATTTGGAATGTACAAAAAATTTTTCACATCAACAAACGAGGACCGACAGACTTAAATCCAATACATGTTTTGCGTGGTATGTTTTATTTAATTTTAATTTTAAACTAATTTTAAGTATATTTTTATTTTGTTATTACAGGAGTCAAAGAGTTGTTGGAAAAATGTGTTATTGTAGCCGGTGAAGATCAGTTAAGCAAACAAGCCAATCAGGACGCCACACTATTATTTCAATGTTTAGTGCGTTCCACTCTATGTACAAAGCTGGTTTCTGAAAGATTTCGTCTATCAACTGAAGCATTTGAATGGTTAGTCGGTGAAATTGAAAATAGATTTAAACAAGCTCAGGTAAGTGTTTTTATGTAACACAAAATATTATCATATAGGTTATCTATTATTTTAAAATTTAATTTTGTCATAGGCACAACCTGGTGAAATGGTTGGAGCATTAGCTGCTCAAAGTTTGGGAGAACCTGCCACTCAAATGACTTTAAATACTTTCCATTTTGCTGGTGTATCTTCAAAGAATGTAACTCTTGGAGTACCTAGATTGAAGGTAAATTGTATATATTGTATTTTAAGAATAATCAGTGAGCTATAAGTTATTTTTCAATTTTATTATTAGGAAATTATTAACATAAGTAAAAAACCCAAAGCTCCATCATTGACAGTATTTTTGACTGGAGCGGCTGCTAGAGATGCTGAAAAAGCCAAAAATGTATTATGTCGCCTTGAGCATACTACCTTAAGAAAAGTTACAGCCAATACAGCTATATACTATGACCCTGATCCTCAAAATACAGTTATCAGAGAAGACCAAGAGTTTGTAAATGTATATTATGAAATGCCTGACTTTGATCCGACAAGGATTTCACCATGGTTGTTGCGTATTGAACTGGATAGAAAGAGAATGACTGGTAATTATTTTATAATAATTATTAAAATATTTTATGGTTTAAAATAATAATACAAAACCGTAAAAAATTAATATATTAACCGTTTCAACAAGAGCTGTCATTAAAAATTAGATTAAAGAGGTTACACTATGTATTTTATCTTGCATTATTTTTCAGCCCATTATATTATTTTAATAATCCATATCTAATAATGTCATTATTATTTTAAATTTTATAATATTTATCATAATTAATAATTAATTTTGTTACTGAAATAATGTTTTTATTGTATTTTATCGTAGATAAAAAATTGACCATGGAAGCAATATCTGAAAAGATTAATGCAGGATTTGGTGATGATCTCAATTGTATATTTAATGACGACAATGCTGACAAATTAATCTTACGTATACGTATAATGAATGGAGAAGATGGGAAAATGAATGGAAATGATGATGATGACTCTGTTGATAAAATGGAAGATGATATGTTCCTTAGATGTATTGAAGCAAATATGTTATCTGACATGACTTTACAAGTGTGTAAAAAATAATATCAGTGTACTATTTATTTTAATTATAGCATTTTTTTTATTTCAATTTTTAAAAAATGTTTTTGTTTTGTAGGGTATAGATGCAATAGCAAAAGTGTATATGCATTTGCCTCAAACTGATTCGAAAAAAAGAATTATTATTACTGATTCTGGAGAATTTAAAGCGATTGCTGATTGGCTATTAGAAACTGATGGTACAAGTTTGATGAAAGTGTTAAGTGAAAGAGATGTTGATCCTGTGAGAACATTCTCTAATGATATTTGTGAAATATTTTCGGTATTATTTATAATTGTTTTGTTATATCATTATTTTATTCAAACAATAGTAATATTATGGAAATTATATTTCAGGTCTTGGGCATTGAAGCAGTACGTAAATCAGTAGAAAAAGAAATGAACACTGTACTGCAATTTTATGGTCTATACGTAAACTATCGTCATTTGGCATTATTATGTGATGTGATGACAGCTAAAGGTCATTTAATGGCAATTACTCGGCATGGTATCAACAGACAAGATACTGGAGCATTAATGAGGTAAAATTAATAATGTGACAAAATATTTAATTTTTAAACTCTATATTAATAATAGAGTGTGAATTTGTTTTTATTGCATCTATGTATTACTACAAGAATAAGATGTGTTTAGTATTCATAATTCTAAGAAACTAAAAAAAAAAATTTATTTTGTATACAAGTATATATCTTGATAATAGGAGAGTATATGCATATAATATAAAAGCACATTTTTACATATTTTACCTATTTAAAATATTTTGTTAAATTTTAAATTCGTGAACATTAGTCACTATGACAAGTGTATTATTTTATAATTATCAATATATTTCTTATAAATGACTATTATTAACAGATATTATTGTAATTCTTCTTTTTCTTAATTTATTTAATTAAATAACAAATATTGTATTTTTGAGGTTTTTATTAGGTTTTTTAGAACACATTAATCCCAGTTACTATTTCATGGTTTCATGTTAAATTTTACAACGGTTAACTCTGAAAAGGATAGGGGTAGAAACAGTAAAACACATTTTAATTTTTTTTTTTATTTGTTCGTAACTGACATTAGTAATGTTGTACAGGACAGCTATTATTAAATAAATTAGAATATGTAAAGCATAGATTTTATGTAAAAACATATTTTTATTAGATGCATGTACAACTACTGCCCACGATCCATAATACCAAGAATCTAAAAACAAAAAAATTGTTGCATATTATATCTTTTGTTGTTTTGGAAATATTTTTTTTAAACACATATTTTATTAACACTTTTAGAAAATTTAACAAGTATATTTTCAAATTTTTAAGACAATTTTATGTTATAATGTTATATTTCGGTCAATTTATGGGAATATAAATCCGGACTAGTAATAAATAATATTATAATTTTAAATTATTACCACTTTATTAGATGTTCATTTGAAGAAACTGTCGATGTCTTATTGGATGCTGCTTCACATGCTGAGGTTGATCCGATGAGAGGGGTATCTGAAAACATCATAATGGGACAATTACCTAGAATGGGAACAGGTTAATTTAATAATGAATATTATAATTTGTCAAAATATATTACTATACTGTTATCTTATTAGGTTGTTTTGATTTACTTTTGGATGCCGAAAAAGCGAAAGATGGAATAGAAATCCCAATGGACAATGGTTACATTGGTATGGGTGTTGGTGGTATGTTTTTGGCTGCTGGCACACCTTCCATGTCACCTGCTATGACCCCATGGGATCAAACATCGACACCAGTATATCCAAATAGCTGGTCATCAAGTAAGACACTGATAATAATTAATGCCAACCATAGATAGTTATGTAATTGAGTAGTTGTTATTTTGTGTTATTAATCATTCATAATATTGTATACTATTTTTAGGTTTGGAAGCTGGCATGACTCCTGGAGGACCTGGATTTTCTCCAGCTTGTTCGAGTGAAGCTAGTGGAACCTCTCCTTTTTGGATGACAAGTGGTGGAACTCCTGGTAGTCCTGGATCACCGGGCATAGCCACTAGTCCTTATGTGCCCAGTCCAAGTTCGATGTCGCCAAACTACAACTATCCATCCAGCCCACAGTTTGGTTCTATGTCACCTTCTATGACTCCCAACAATTATTCTCCAACAAGTCCACAGTACTCTGTTTCACAACCGAATACTCCGAAATATTCTTCAATGTCGCCAAACTACAACTATTCACCAACCAGTCCATCTTACTCGCCTACAAGTCCTTCATATTCTCATACTTCATATTCACCAACAAGTCCTTCGTATGAATTTATTAAAGTTTTTTTGAAAATTAGTTAATATTTAAGTGTTTAACAATTATTTTTGTTTTTAGATATAGTCCAACATCTCCATCTTATAGTCCTACGTCTCCTTCTTATAGTCCAACATCGCCATCTTATAGCCCAACATCACCATCATACAGCCCGACATCTCCCTCGTAAGTGTATTTTAAAGTAAAGTTTAATTTATTCTAACTGTTATTTTATTGTTACTTTGTAGTTTTAGTTTTATCATTATATTCATTATGTTTTGTAACTTATAATGTAAAATAATGAAGTTGCAGTCATATTGATGTACGGATTAATAATATAATTGATGGTGTTTAGAACCATCTTAAGTAAATTATATTATATATCAATAACTTTTAAATTCCAGATACAGCCCTACAAGTCCTTCATATAGCCCCACATCACCATCTTATAGTCCAACATCTCCATCATACAGTCCGACTTCTCCATCGTAAGTACCTTCTATAATATTATTACTATTTGTTCAGTATTTTTAAACAAACTATACAAAATAGTGTACAAATATTATTTCATCAGATGTATAATTACTTACACTTTTAAATAAAATATATTAATATTATGTATTATAAACATCAAATTAAATACTATAATTATTCGCATAGGTATAGCCCTACTTCACCATCATATAGTCCAACGTCACCATCATATAGTCCCAGCTCTCCGCAATATACAGCATCATCACCATCATATACACCTAGCGCTTCATCAGGTGGCAGTAATTTTAAATATTCACCCACATCTCCCTCTGTAGCTGTCAGTCCAACATACTCCCCAACCAGTCCAATGTATTCACCATCAAGTGCTTCATACTCTCCTTCTTCTGTACAACAAACACCAAATTCTGGAAGTCAATCTTATAATCAGTCTTACAGTCCCAGCTCACCAGTGTACTCACCTACAAACTTCTCATTGTCAAGTCCTAGGTAAGACAGAAAAAACAAAATAATTTTCATATCGTGGCTTACTTTAAAATCATATGATTTTAGGTATTCTCCAACTTCACCCACATATTCCCCCGGAGTCGGAAGTCCAAATTACTCACCATCTTCACCAAGTTATTCACCGACATCTCCAAACTATACTGGACCTGATGAACATTAAAAAGGAAAAAATCAATTTTCCTTTTGATTGAAAAAGATGTATATTTGTCTATTTCTATATAATAGAATATCGTAGATAGTATATCACTGTTGTGAGGGGAAAGTTGATAGTATACATAAAGTAACTTAATTTATATATTCTGTAACATTTTCGAACATTTGTGATCGGTCATAACAGTTTAGTCTACATAAAACCAATTAGCAATTTTACATACTCGAAAATGTCAATTGTTTATAAATAATTCAAAGATGATTTGAATGGTTTTGAAATATTACTATGTCTAGAAAAGGTCCATATAAGTAATCTGGAAATTTCAGGTATTTATAATTTTTTTTAATTAACTTTATTTAACTTATCACAAATATATTATAACTAAGGCTTTTTTTGTTATATGTAAATGTAATACAATATAAATTACCTAATTTATGATAACATAATTATTAATGTTTAAATAAATTTTAATTTTATTTCCACCAGAACAATCACATTGTATAAGCTGCAATTATAAATTTTTTTTTTTAAAACATATTTTCTCAAACTAGAAATCGGTGATATTATTATTATAATAATATGTCGTCTGTTGTATATATAATGTATATATATATATTTATTTTATAATTAGATTAGATAAGTATTATACACTATTATTGTATCATTGTATTAATTGTATTATTACCTATACATGTAGATTGAATATATTTAATTAGTATTCGAATAACTGTATATCATATACATGCTGCCTTTGGACAAGCAAAATGACTACACAAGAAAATGTCACATTTAAATATTCTGTAGTTATAATATATATATTTCTTTTACTATCAATAGTTAGGTTATTATTATAAATTACTTTATATTAAATTTCTCAATTTTTTTTATAAAAGGTTTTACAAATATAACAATATTAATTTATTATATTTATTTTATTTGTTTTAATTGTTTCAGTTGAAGAAATATTTCGGTATTTTCAAGCCAAATTGTAGATAGTGTTGTATATAGGACTAGTTTTAAAATTATATAGTAGGCAAAATGTATTTTGTATTAATAAACAGTCATAGTGGAAAGATTTTGGTGACACGAATCAAAAAGAAACAGAAATATGTCGAAAACAACAAAATAACAAGTTATTTAATACGGCAATGATGACTGGAGTTAGATGATGTTTATTCAAGAAGCTAGCAATCAATGGTCGATTATATTTTATATTTTGTTGAGGTTTTTGATGAGAGAACTATAATTTAAATCAGTGGTCTTAAATCACCGGTTACGGAAAAGATATTACTCGTATAAAAGTGTACAACTAAATTATTATTGTCTCGCGGATCTTTCCGCCAACATGACTAATATTGATAACGAGAGACTCATTGTGGTAATTAATTCGAAGCGGTGTATTTGGAACGCTTCGAGTAAAGAGTACAAAAATAGAGATAGAAAACTTTTGATTATATTAATAACTTCGGAATTGAAACCTAATTATGTCAACATTTTTTCCTCGTATAATCTATTTAGTTGTATATTGTGGACATTCCGAATGATTTCGATTGTCGACCGTCAAATCACCAGAAGTTCCCAAAAACAAGTGCTTTGACGTCGCAAGGCGCAAAAAAACGCACGAACAACCTGCAAAATATTTCTGTAAGTAGTTATTTAAAACTCTCAAATAAAATAGTTAGGTACCTACTTACAATAGTTTCTAACACACTAAAAATATTACACTAGGTACCATCCACTGAACTCTATAGGTACCTACGTGGAGTTGGAACGCGCATTCCAAATGATAGGTACCTATATGTATTAAAAAGTGTTCCCTGATAGGAAACTGTCATTTTAATTCCATTAGTCCACAAGAACAGAGAGTAAACCAAATAATCTATAAGACAGAATACAAATAATCACAGATATCTATAACTATATACCTATTTATATCTTTATAGTTTTTTTTATATCTGTGTCTGTGACTTGTTACAATAATATTCTATGGAAATTGCCGATAGGATGATAGTAGATAGGTATTAACATATTAAAATAAATAATTGACAATTATCAACAATTATTTAATAAATTTGAAAAACCTCAAATAAACAGTAAGTTCTAAAACAGTTAGGAATCAAACTAACGACATCATAATTTCCAATAACATAAAAAATTATAAGTTTCATTATTACCATGAAATCACGATGAGATAATCTACATCGTGCATGGAATTTAACAATCCGTGTATATTTAAAATAATGAAATCATGAAAGTGTACGTTTTTTGCCACTTAAATGCTATTATTTTGAATATCGCGCCGAAAATCAAAAAATGACCTCTTTGGAGTGCAAACTAGAAAACGAGAGCTTTCAGAAAAAGTTTCATGGTTCATAATTTTTTAGCATGTTTACTAGGAGAAAAAATGACCGCAGATCATAAACAAAACAAAAATAAACATCATTGTAAAACTAAATGGTCCATCATTTTTTATTTGAAAAATTACGTCCACCACGTCGTGATAACATATTGACGCTTGTTGCACAGCTGTACGATATTGGCAACTCTGTTTTACTGTATGGCCCGTGGCTGACGAGTATAGAAATAAAATGGCTGCAATAAGGTGTGACCAATCAAATTTGATTAATTTATCGCGGGAAATTTAAATATTATTTTAGTACCTATGTCACCATTTTGGTATTACTGTTCTTTAAACAACATCGTGTTTCCTAATATACATTTTTTTTTTTTATTGGAAATTAAAATCTCAATAGATATCTATTATTATTATTATTATTATGTTCCCATATTTAATTAATTGTATTTTGATAAATAATATTACGCATTGTAATATTGTTTATATAGTAGTAATAATGTTCTTATGTATGATAAATACCATATTATTACTAGTTGTGTTAAATACATTTTACAAAATAAAAAACTGTACACCGACCAGTTACACCGTTTTCTGGATAAAGGATAAAGCTAATGATTAATTTAAACTAATATATTTGAAACCGCGATTTAAATACTGATTTTAGAAAATACAATATAGGATTATAAAATCTTTAATCAATGAAGATATCACAATACTCATAGTTCTTTTTTTCCGTTGTTTACTCAACGATAAGGCATATGTTACAAAAACCATTCTGACTGTTTCCACCTTATGAGTTATGACGGTAATTTTATTTCTATACCCGTCAGCAATCGATTTCTGATAACAAAGTTGTTCTACATTGTATTATAACTACCTTGGTACAATCGAACTTTTGAATAGAAGTGGTTATGTTAGGTTTATGGGCAACCACCTTGCCAGTGACAAATATTATAATTTATAATATCGTAGTTCTAATGTTATTCTCTGGTATATAATATACGGTCTATGTTTTTGTGGTAAAAACGATTATTTTCTGCTAAAATATAGTTCAGATAAAAACTTTCGACTTATTAATTTTTTCAGACGAAATATTTTTCGACTATACGTTTAGGCTAAAATATTTTCTATTCGCATATTTTCCGTACCTATATTAAACTTTCATACTTATTACTTTCCGGATAAAATACATCTTTATGTATTGAAATATTTTTCAGATACTAAATTTTTAGTTGAAATATCATTTAGTAACAGATTATACCTACCTACACAGTGTCCTACCAAGATGTACCAATTACATTTCCTGAGATAATAACGATAAATAAATTGTTTTCTTTTTATTATTATTATTATTCGCAGGAACGAGGACTACGAATATTTACATTTAAATTTATTTTTTATGTTTATAATAGTTTAAAATTCAGAGAAAAGTACCTAGCAGCAGCAAACTGTATTCGCATTCGCAAATTGATTATTGTTATTATCATGGCTAATTGATCAGACATATTTTTTTTATTTTTTTTTTTTTCTGAGCTTTAAACAATTATTAAAAATCACGCATTTTTGAATGTCTGTTAAAACGCTCGACGAATTATTAAATATCGTTAAAACCACAAGCTAACAAAAAAAAAATAGTGCGAAAGATCCTCCCGTCCGTGATCGTCGTAATATTATATAAATGCAGGGGCCTCATAACATTTTTCGCACAAAACCTGGTTGCGGCACCGCACTCCGTTTACAAAATCAATACGTTCATCCCTTTGTTCGCAATGGGAAATATAAAATCTACTTATTATCGAGTGTTCCGCGTCAATAGCGAGTACAATAGTGAAAAATGTATTTCGACTTTCGATAAAGCGTATTGTATATAAGCCTGCACAATTATTCTCGTACCCGCGGAATTTGTTGTAAATACGCGGCGCGTCTACGCCGTCTGCGCGGCCCGGTACCGTTCGAACCGATACAGAATCGGTGCGTTTTAATTTCAATTAATCAATTTTTAACGGCGCGTCGACGGGCAAGCGCAAGCGTGCAGGAGTTTTAACGAGTTCGGCGGAAAACGTGCTCGTGGTCGGCCCCGGCCTAACGCGCGCACATTTCGACCTCACCGCGCGATAAGAACTTCCTGTCGAAATGTATTGTAACGATTAGTGGACCGCGCGTAATAGAATATTACGTTTGCAACGCGCACGTGACCCAAACGGACGATTTTAGCGGAGAAACGGTATGGTTGTACAGAGACGGTTGTTGTTAAACATTTTTTTTTTTTTCCGCGGACAACCTTTCTGCGAGCAATTCGACTCCGATTCACGACGATAGCACTTTTTCCGGAGGGAAATATGACCGGTGAGGTCATTAAATGGTGAAAACCGGGCGAACGGATGCGATATTATGAAGAAACCATATAACGCATGTGTAATTATTCTACCATAACGTGAAATGTATGAAAATATATTATTGACGAAGCAATTAGCTATTAACCGAACACCGCTCAGAATCGTTTTTCGTTAGCGATGGTTAATCGATCGTTGCGTTGTTAACCTACAACTGAGTGGCCCACGCCCGTGCGGAGTATTTATTGAATTTAATTTTGTTCGTAACCCGGTACCGTGTGACTGAATAATTTATAATGTGTTTTGTACAAAATATCACGTTGGTACCCTTGTCCGTATTGTAATCGACCGCCGTGCCGTCGTTAAACCGAAAAATTCCATCTGCGCCTCCATACGTTTCCCCGCGTCCCGCACTACCCGCGCATGCGTACAAAACTGCAGCTGCTTGCTGCTGTGAAAAAGGCGTGACCCTTCACTATACCGCGCGGACAAAAACATTTTACAGAAATATTTTTCCCTTTTATTATATAGCACCGCAGGCCAGATGTCTAGGTCGTAAATATTAGAAAAAAAAAAAATAATAAAATAACAACCCATCACCTTGACCTTGTAATCTACCGCCAGTGACCCAAACACTGAACACAGTTTTAAAACACGTTTTTATTCGTCGTTATTCGCGTCCGGTTTCTTTACCGCGCAACGGATATTTTTTTTTACGGTTTTCATTATCGTTTGTGGAATTTTTTTCGAATGCACATGTACCTGCGATTATTATACGCATACGTATTGCGGTACACGGGAATAAAATCATTAAATTATTTATTTATTTTGTTCAATTTATTGGAAAATTATTACATACAATATTATTGGGTACATCGTAATATTATAGATATAATTATTCAGTATTAGATGTTCTGAAATGCTTTTGCTGTCAAAAATAAAAAAATAAAAGCACAATAGTAGGTATAGTCAGTCGTAAGTTGTAACTTATCCGCCAGGATAAATAATTGAAATCGGATGGGATTATTAGGATTGTATACAAATACACTGGTGACATTGTGCTAATTATTTCTACGCTCAGTGCCATATTGTGTTGTGCTTGTGACTTACAAACTGTGAAATTGGAACCGTGGAAATTATAAAATCAAACAAAGGAACAGAGAAGATTTTGTTTAAGGGGCACAATATGTACACATTAAAATACGGTGGAAAACAATATTATATAACGGATAAAAAGAATGCATTGATGTCATCTGTAAAGTATTTAAAGCAAACATAAAGAATACAATGATTTCAACATAAACATGTACGAGGGTTTTTTTTTTTTTTTTATAAACAATGCTGAAGAATTGTGGCAATTAGCAATGGTAGCATTTTTCTCTAGTCTCGTTACCATTGATGTATGTGATAATATAATTTTTTCCATGGATATACTATTAACAATAATTCTACTTAAATTTTCTGTCTTAGTCAGACTACAAACTACAAGATGCGTATGATATGATTTTCAATTTTTTGTTTCTTTTTTTTTTTTTTCAATTCTATAAAACCATTAACTTTCTCTTTTTTCCAATTTGTCCGATGATTCTTTTATTGAACTTTTCACTACTTTCTTAGCAAGGATGAAACCAGTTCAGTTCTACATTACATTTAATTTAATTTGAATTTAGTAATTAGGGCACACTTTGAAATTCACCACTTTTAAAAAGGATTGATATAACTCAATTTTCCTCAAAAATCGTCTTAAATTAATTAAACGTAATAAATTTCAAATTTCAAAAGCCCGTCATATGATATTTTTATTTGGTTTCACGTGGGCTTACAATCCGACTAACTGTTCAATAATAAATGGAAATTTAATTTGTTATAAGTAGTTCTTATAGACTTAAAATAATATAATTAAAATCCGTATTTACTATTTTTTTTTTTATTTTTTTTATTTTTTTTTTTTTTTATAGGCGTATCATACAAATCACTGCATTCACGTAATATTTTCAAATTTATGTGGATAATATTTAGTTGGATCTATACAATTTTCAAAAATCCAAGACAAAAAAACACGAGCACTAATTAGATACTTGTAATTTTATGTTGTAGTTACACATTTTCAATTTAATTCTATTAAAGGCACAATTGACCAAACATTATTGTTTATTGAACTTAACAGCCGTCAATATATGATAACGTTAAACAAATCGAGGAGGAGAGTGGATACGTCCTAACATTATTATATTTCAGGAGAAAAATGTTCTATTCACGGGAGGGGGGGACTTTTGGAATCCAAAAAAAAAAGATCCTATCAGTATAATAATGAGGATCGGCGTCACTGGGACGAACCTTTTATTACACTCATGATGTTTTTTTTTGTATTAGATACAGAAGAATTTGACATGGGTTTGACATGGGTCACATCGCAGCATGTGGGCCGAACAAAAGGTTTTCTCTCGGTTATTTTTCTTTTTTCTTTTATTATTCCCGTATGTTATATTGTTAACCGTCAGAAATAGCAGCTGGTAGTTATAATACATTGTATATTTTTTCAAACGAGATTTCGGAAAATAAATTATTATATAATGGTTGCAGGTTATATAATAAACGTACCAAGTCGATTTTATGGGGGAATATAAATTATTTTATTGTATAGGCACAGTCAGACAGTCAGATTTAATCTCATGTTTCCCACGAGGGTGTAATCGGGTAAAATAAGAATTCGGGCTGGGCGCGCATTTGGAAAAAAACCTGTACTACAAAACTCACGCACGTATAAGTCGACGAACAAAATATTAGTATAAGCATACAGTGTGATTACATATTAATACATAATACACTCTATATCTCGGCAAGTATTATAGATGTCGAAATTTGTTTTCCAGGAAATTAAAAAAAAAACAAACGGCTCTAAAAAATTTACATCATCGTTATTTGTCATCAACCTTATTTTCAAATGGGAAAAACCAATACTCACATCAGATTTCCAAACAGCAACCGATTGTTATAATTCCATAAATGGACGAAGTTTTAGTTTTAAATAAATGTCGGTGTTGATATTTTTAATTTCAGCCAAACGAGATTGACGAGATATTATATTCCCCTTTTGATTTTTACCATTTTGTGGGAAGCATCGATGTTATCGTGTCACCGCACAAAATAATGCTCTTACTGCTCTCTCCTGCTGATAAAACGTTGAACTCGAATGTGGAATATCTTGCAGACGAATTTTATAGCTGCGCTTGGTTTTAGACGCTTCATAAAAATCCAATGTTGAAAAAAGTTAAAATTCTCCGATATATTGAGTGTCTGCCGTAGATACGTTATATGGATCACTCTGTATGTCAACACACAAATCGATAACGACGAGAACATTCGAGAAGTGGTTTTATCGGTCGATGTATCGTTATTTCGTTCTAGCCTATGGTAGAAAACAAAAATGTATTGGGTACCAATTTATTATCGTGCGAGGCCGTAGGGTAGGGATATTCGATGGTTTATTCAGGCCATTTGGTAGTGACGTCATTAAAAATTATAGCCGAAGCAAAAACCCGTTTTACCCGAACGATGTTCTGACGGACGGAATGTTCGTCCGGTCGTTCGATTATTATCACGGCACGCTAGGACAAGGAAATGCACTTAGGAAAAAAGCAAGTGGACGAAAAAAAAAAAAAACGTTCCCCCAAATAATCTATAAGAATTATTGTTATTGTGCGCGTATACACAAAGAGGATGCCACGTCGGGCGCGTCGCGTCGTATAATCCGAGACGACCGTGAACTCTGGGACCGTGTTTTTTTTTTTTTTGTAAAAAATGCACCAAAACCGGTTATAAACCGACCGAATAATTATGTTTACGTAATACTGTTACGATACGTACGGCGTTTTTAACTGATGCGACCCACACGCGCGACGGCACGTAGGCATGGTTTTTTGGTTCTCCGCATTTTTTTAAACACGGTATTTCACACTCTGTACAATGTTCGGTCTTTATTAAAAACGTCCGCCGCGCGACGACACAAAAGCCTCGAATTGTTTCGTAGCGTACGCGCTATTGTTATGGGTGGTTTATGCGTCGGGCCTCGATTCGAATGTGCGCTCGGAACGCGGCGCGTTGATCGGGAATCGTCCGAAAAATCCGTTTCCGCCGTTTTATTTTTATCTAGCGAGCGCGCCGAACGGAAATCGGGTATCATTCGACGTTTGTGCGAGTTACACCGTCCGCTCTTTGCGTTTAGGTAACCGCGCGTTTTGCGATACGCGATCCCCGAAATGTACCCATTAACAATAGGTAACCGGGCGGCTGCCCATTACGGTCTCGTATACCCGAAACCATCGATTTGATTTCAGGTTACTTGATTATTATCAAAATTCAATATCCAGTAACGCTGCGCGAATAGACGGATACGATGCGTGCGCAGCTGCCGCAGTTGGCCGGTGTCCGTCATAAAAGCTGCTCAATAGAAAGCGCCCGCTGACATCTGAAAATATATTATTTTCATTATCAATATACAATGGAAATACGCTAATAATCGTGTATTTTTTTTTTCTACTATTCGAAAAAGAAACAATGTTATCCCAATGTCGATAAATGCCTCTGCGCGTAATTTTTTTTCGCCTTCTGTGTGTTCGCGTATATATCAGTACAAAATTTGAATTTTTTAAACGTTCATTATTTCGTCAATATTTGAAGATATTGGAAGCGTATACCAAATATGCGTTTAGAACAATATTATTCTTTGAAATGATTTATCACGAACGTTGTTTGACCTTTGTGTACCAGCAATGAGTGTAGCCCACATATTTGTAGTATCAGTTTTACTGGGTTTCATCGCTATTAATTAATTTTAATACTGGTTTAATATTTCTCGTGTTTGAGAGCAATTAATTTTGAATTTAAATACCATTGTTTGATAAAATATTTATCGCTTCAGTATAATATGCTCTGTATAGTCTCTGACACAATGGAGAATAATAATAAAAAAAAAAAAAACTGCTGTATGTAGTCTCCAATATCCTTGTAATATTTTGTAATTCGAAAAAAATACTTTACGATTTTTCGTATTTTTAATTCATTGGATTTATCTTCTATTCACTCGAAGAAAATCGACAAAATATAACGTCATGGTCAACAGTCATAACAAATACATCGTAGACTGGGTTAAATTTTTTTTTAAACTTTTTTCTCGGCGATTCGTCGTTTTACTACCACTCTCCACCTCTAACACTTATCGTTGATGTCCAGTATTTTCCTACCCGTGACAACTTCAAATAAATAAATTAACATTTAATCATATTATTATAAAAAATGCCGGTGGGATTTTCGTTGTTATCGCTAACCGTGTAAAATCTTCTAAAATATATTATTCGTTATGCGTGTTTGGTTTTGTATAGGCCGTCCAAACGATTTCCGGCGATAATTTTCTACACACACACACACACACACATACACACACACACACACACACACACACACACACACACAAACATACACAGGCACACGCACACAGTTAGCATAGTCACGCATCCTCACAATGACTCACGAATGACGTCCTACAGTTCCCGCCGTACGCGAGTCAAATACTACCAACCGTCAATTTTTAAACCGTGACTACTCTACCAAACCAGTGTTTCTCGACCTTTTTACCGTCACGACCCCTAAACGGATATTTGTATTTTTTTCGGCGACCCTTAAATATAAATCGTATACAAGGTGATCCAAATTTTATATTTTTGGCGACCCTAAATAATTTGTCCCAACCACCCCCCAGTTTGAGAAATACTGGGCTAAACGACAATTCAATGTGTTCTACCAACATTTTTATGTAAACATTTTACTATTGATTATATAATATTCATTATAATCGCTGACGTTACAGAATATATTTTTGGTGAAATTTAAAAAATGAATATTATTTGGCCTGTATATTTTCACGGTTTTTGTTTTCTACTAAAAATATTAATCCGCTTGAAAAACAACATTGACTTTTTTCGATGAATTTCTGATCTAGTTGGCGGATAAGAAAATCATTTATTGATTTTCTGTGTAGATTTCTAAATAATTTAAATTAATTTAGTAAAATCTTAATAAATCTGTATTAATAAAGCACTTTTAGTAACTAAATTATTTCCAATTTTATTCAATTATGTTGTTATTAAACAAAAATATTTGTAGATACTTGAAATGTTGACAGAAAACTTATATCTATCTTTTCTGGACGTTGTAAAATATACTGGGAGAAATGTGTCCACGTGGAACATATACGGACAAAATCTACGTACGTGGCGCTTTTCGATATTTCGATATTTTTTTTACCAAAAGCAATATGGGGTGAAAATTGTTAAAAGGGATGGAAATAGAAAATCTGACCACGTATTATTTATATAGTAGAATTAATGAACAAACGTGTTATGAGACATTTTTCGATAGTCTATAGTTTCACAATAGTTCGCAAAAGCCATATTGGATGAAAACCATTTTTCTTCCTTTGAAAATGGGGATAAAAACGAAAAATCTGATTATTAATTATTGTATTGTTGTCACAAAAATTAATAAGAAGCGCATTCGACGTTTCAAATCGATAACATATTTTGAGCTTTTTCGTAAGGTAAAAATCGGATTTTCCGGAAAAAAAACGGTGTTGCAAATTTAAAAATTGAAAATTGTAAATTATAACGTAACCCGCTTCGTTCGGAATCTATGATGTGGCCAAAAAGGATATATACTTGTGTCTCTACATAATCTCCCGCCGTTAATACGCCACGGATTCACGTGAAAATTACAAAATAGCGACGGTTAATCGTTATTATCGAATTTTGGCCACATGGCGCTATTTTATACTCGTATAGGGTTCGTGATCGAACCCCAACTGGATTCGGGCGTGTCGAGTAACTCCCGCGTGAATGCGTTGCCCGACGATAATACGTCATGCCGCACAAAATTATCTACAAAATAATAAATAATATTACACGTTGCCGTCCCAACGGCCCCATCCCGCGCGCGGTGACTCCGCGGGTGTCGGTAGCGTTGCACATTCTAACGCGATCCCAAATATGCCGCTCGCCCGCCCGCCCATCGTCTTTTGTCCTCCTCTCGCGTCGTGTATAGCCACTATAGCGACACTCGCGCGTCCACGGAAAAAACGACGCCGCGCGTGCGTCCTGCAATGGGATGGGTCGCCGCAGACCAAGGCCAACGATACAATGTAACGATCGCCAGGGTGGGCAACCGTCTTTTTTCCACCTAAATAAACGGATGCGCCCGCATACGACGACGGCGAATTATATTACCACGAATTACAATTGAACCGACGGTGTAACAAATATCGCGGTGGGCGTAATTCTCGAACATTCCACGCGGGTACCGGCGCGGAGTGACCGTTCCACCGCTGCCGCCTAGGATCGATCCGCCGCGTGCGGTAACCTTCCCACGGCCGTGAGACTCGTGTTTAGAGCCACGAGTACGAGGAAGGGATAATAGTCGTCATATTTTCATTTCGTGACGTATTATTCTTCTACTTTACCCATAAAGGAGGCTGAAAATAGCTCGTTTTTTGTTCACTTTTCTTTTGTGCCTATTTTCTGGTTTTTTGTACCGGAAAATACACCGATTTTCAAACATAATTAAGTAATCCATAATTTCCGAAAACAAACACTACGTACTGCAGGCTAACTTTCGCTTACATAGTGCCTACAAGCACGGCTCAAGTGTTTCAACACACCTAGGCGAACTTAAGTTTGGCCACCCCTTGCGTGTAAATACTACATCTAATATATTTTTTTGTTTACACAAAAACAATACAGAATAAATTCTGAGTTCATTATATTTATTCATGTAAAGTTAACAATTGATTAGATCAATACATTTATAGACAAGTATGCCCCTACTAATTTAAATTTATTTTATTGGCTATAACAAAACGATTTTAAGATTATTATTTTTTACTACTACACGCGATTCAATACAAGTAGGTACTAAGAACTGTTATCTTTTTAAAAATTATCTGTAATCCAAAATCTAAATTCCGCCCCTGAAAAACGCAGTCCTAGGCGTGGGCCTATGTTGCTACCCCTTGAGCCGGTCCTGAGTACCTATTATAGTAGATAGATTCTAATATGATGGTTACTACTATGATTTTATGATGATGACGTGTTTGTTCTTTTTCTGTACGTGAACAACTTTTATACCATAAATCTTGCTCCAATTATCAATTTTAGAGGCGACGATTCTTAGTAAAAATTGTTGTCTGGTTGGTGTAATAAGTTAATTTTTTGGTTTTCTTTATAGTATCGAAAAAATAGACGAAAAACGTCGGGAAAGCTTGTAACTGTTACATTTACTGCTTCTGTTTTATTCTATTTTGTTTATTTAATGAAAAATAATCGTAGAGGTTAGAAATTCCACTGAATACTTTTAGGTATAGTTTCTTATATACAGTTCTTTTCAGACATTGAAATGTATTGTATCCTCCACTGCATCCCATGCATTCCACTTCAAACAAATAGTAAAAGTACGCTTACATTTCTGAACAATTAGTTGAGGTGCTCCGTCCTCCTGCCTCCCCCCCTCAATTCGAGTACTGCTTATTCAAAACCCACAGGTGCTGAAATTCGCGTATTTACGGTGGGAGAGGGCTGCAGCTCCAACAAAAAATCTGAATATGAGCCTGGGTGCCGACGAAATGTGTAAAAATTCAAAATTAAATAACGTATTAATTTTCTGGATTAGTACTCAAACACATGGAGTAGGTACACTATTTCTTTTTCAAAATGTTGACTCATTACTAAAAAGTTCAAATGATAGGTAATTATAGGTACAAGATATACCTATTTAATTATTTTCAACGTATCTAGGTAGGTATCTATATAAGTAAAATTATAATTTTATCTAATAATCTATATAGTTGTATAAAATAATATTTCGTGATTGACTGGTTTATAATTGCCTAGTCCGAACCATTGGATAGATCAGACTGAAATTTAGCCTACTTATCTAGTAATTCAGTAGTAATTTAGAAAAGACTTTAGTAATTCAGATGAACACTAGATAGCGCGAGCGCACGAGGAAGACCTCGGGAGGACAGTCATGAAGAAATACCATGCTGTTGTACTAATAGCAGTCCTCTGTATACGTCCATGGTCCGTAGTACATCTTCGTAAATTGATAGGCAGTAGTTGATATTAAATTCTTTACTTTATTACTAGAAATCAAATCCATTACTTAAAGTATTTGCATATTTTTACTTAAACGTTTTTCTAAATAATTTGTAAGTATGGCTATCAGAACATGCTGTATAATAGGTTGTCAAAATACGAACAAAAATACCAGTAATATTACTTTTTACTCATTCCCGGGAAGACCTCAGGATAAGGAATTAAAACAAAAATGGATAGAAGCCGTAAATCGTTTAGAGTATGTAATTTTATCAATAAATCAGTCTAATATATAATATATAATATTTATATATATATTATTAATTTACAGTGAATTTGGCAATTTATGGCAACCTAAATCGAGAAGCTATATTTGCAGTGCTCACTTTGTCAATAACCAACGATCAAGGCTCCCTTTGAGCCCTTCTTACATTCCATCAATTTTTCCAATAATTTACAATAAAACAACATCAACATACAATGGTTCTGGAAGAAATAGGTTGGTTAGAGACTTTAGTTCGCAAGTTAATTTCAATCTGACCAAAGTATTGACATTTGGATGCACAGTTTGTGGTAACAATGTTTTTACTCATGTCAATGTACCTTTAAATAATTTGGTTAGTAAAACTTCAACAAATTTTCAGGTTTCTGTAGCAAATTTTCCTTTTTTACCAAACTCAAATTTGTTTCAATCTTTTTCAACCAATAGACAATTAAAAGACTTTACTGGTGTATCATTTGGAACTTTCTACATGTTACTTTCATTTTTACCAGAGTCTTTAGTATGTACTTCTATAAATAAAGAAAACAGCCTTTTGTTATTTTTAATGAAATTCAAAATAGGATTCAATTATTCTGCTTTAGGTGTATTATTTAAAATAAACCACCAAACTGCCGCCAACATTTTTTGTCAGTATTTAACTTTACTAGTTGATAAGACAAAACATATAATTACTTGGCCATCTACAGATACTGTTTTAGCTACTTTGCCCAAATGTTTTAAAAAAAATTATACTAATTGTCGATGTATTGTTAATATTTTTGAGTTAGAAATGGAAGAGCCTATATCAATCGAGCAAAGAGTGTACACTTATTTAAGCTGCAAAAATTACTATGCTTCCAAGGTATTAATAGCGGTGACACCAAGTGAAATGGTTTGTTATTTGTCTGAATGCTTTGGTGGTACCGCATCTGATTCATTGATTATAAATAAAAGTGGTTTATTCAATTTATTAGCACCTGGGGATTTTGTAATTGCAAATAAAGATTTACTAGGAATAGAATCCGAATATGGAAATATAAAGAGTTTTTCAGTTAGTGATTCTAATTTACATAATGGAAGACTTCTAATTAATGAGGTACTTGAAGCGAATTCAGTGGAAAGTGTTAAAAGACATATTAAAGGGATCTTTGCTAAATTAAAAGCATATAATATTCTATTAAAAATACCCACTGATTTGATACCGTTTATTAATGATATTGTACGTATTTGCTGTGTACTATATAATCTTGAAATTCCAATTATAATTGATTAAAACTTAGTTAAATTATATTAGAATACTGTAGTTTTAACTACAATGTTTTTGTATTATGTTGTGTAAATTACTTATAAATACGAAAATACATTTTTATAATGTAAAAAGAAAGACTTTAAATATTATGTATTATGTAATTTGTATTTTATTTTATTTTTATAACTTATATGATACAAGTACAAACTGTTTATTAATTATTTTATTCAAATTCAATAAAATTGTTTTAGCCTTTATGTGTTAATGATGTATATGAAGAAAACTTTTTTTTTTTCACAGTATTATGTTATGTGAATTATTTATAAATTCAAAAATACATTTTTATAATGTAAAAAGAATGACTTTAAATATTATGTAATTTGTATTTTATTTTATTTTTATAACGTATATGATATAAGTACAAATTGTTTATTAATTATTTTATTCATATTCAATAAAATTGTTTTAGCCTTTATGTGTTAGTGATGTATATGAAAACCACTTTTTTTTTCTCACGGTATAAATGCAAAATTATTTGAATGGTTCAAAAATCATCTAGACTGTGGCTTGTATGGAAGCTACTTGTAAAAGTACCACAAATGTGCAGAACTATTTTTTTCAGTATACTATTCATTAAGCATGCTTTTATCATTTTACTATTATTTGTAATATTTTTGTTCGTGAGAACATTGATAAAAATCTAATCCTATAGATGGTGATTGAAGTAGATACCACCAAACTATAAAGGGTTCTGCTAGTTTAAAACTTATTTAATTTTGCTATACTACACATAAATGTAGAAGTATCAATGTATTATCGACTTTAATTTAATTATAATTTAATACTTGAAAAATACTCAACTCTGCATAATTAAAAGTCAATTTATATAATAATAATATTTGTAATATATTATAACTGTAATAATTGGATCATAAATATATAAAAAAAAAAAAATAATTTTAATTTTAATATTATAAGTACATTATAAAAATATAAAATATATGTTGATTTGTGTATAACATACTGGACATAAAGTCTTTGAACTTTTCAATCTTATAGAAATAGAATAAAATTACAGTTTTAAAATATAAAACATAGTTAGGTACTTAGTTTCAGATAATGCAATAAAAATTGATAATACAAAATATAACTACTAAAATTAAAAAAATATTGGTAGGAAAAGCCATATTTTTGGTATCAAAATTATTAAAAACTTAACATAGGTACAAGTGTACATTTATAACAGAAAAATACACAAATCCATTAATGTACTAGTATGCGTAATTACTTTGTATACACTACCCTTTATATATTTTTTATCGAATGATCTATAAGTATATTGAATATTGCGCAAATTGTGTAAAATATAAAAAAATGTAGTTTGAATTTGTGATGTTATATCTAATATCTATGTAATACCGTGTTAAAAATACTCTATTATTATTATACTGTTATTTTATTTTTCTGATTCTTTTAATTTGATAATCGAATTAAGAGTTATGAAGAACCGAAATCCGCTTGGAGAGAAAAAACAAAAAATAATGTTTACATTAGCTACGGTTGAAAACCATATATTATATTCTATAAGCCTGTCTCGATGTAAGCGAGTACATTTACGGTCGTTTACATTTGTGTCAGTACTAGGAGATGTTGCATATTAATACACATTATCTACTCTAATCACACCTAGTATACTGTGTAATCTTCTAAATGTGACCTTCGGAATTCTTTAGACTTTGTAGCATATAGGTTTATGATTACTATTTGTTGAACGTAATATCATTTTAAGCGCAACAACAGGTACATGAGTGGTTAATGATAGCCAAGGGGACTAGAAAAATCTATTGTCATTATAACCGAATTAAGTCGTGCACCGGAGTTAATTTTTTTTGTCTGTTACAATAATTTCACATCCAACTAATAGATTCGACAGTGAAGCAAACAGTTTTCTTTCCTATATTGGAAAACTGTAACAAAAAAAAACCACGTTATTTTAACAACACTAGATATAGAATTTACCTGTACAATTTACGTACATTTCGGTAAATTGGGTAAATTTTCTTATTAAAAAGTGAAATAAACACTTAAATATGTAATATACATGTTACACGAAATGAGCGTTACGAAAAAAAAAAATCAAAAAATGCATATTAAACGGTAATACTAATACATTTTCAAATTTTAAAATGACGTGTACCCACAAGGCTAGAAACATAGAAACACATTGTACGGCGGCGTTGCGCGGGGCGCAATCGTGCGCGCCTAAAACGGTACCGATCGCCGACAAGGGGCAATCGTGTTCCGCCGGCAATTTGTACGCGACGTAATATTGTTATGCCAGTGGTGGACATTGTGTCCACGTCGGTCATGCTTACAGAGAAAGGAACGTAGATAAATATAAAAAAAAAAAATCGAAAAAGCTTTTATAACAATTGACATAGTACGTGATTCCGGTCGTCACGTGCGCGGATGCCGTACGGCCCTCGCCAGCGACGACGCCGACGCCCAGCTGCGATGATCTAGGGTCGGGTCGGCTATACGTTTTAACTCTGTGTGTGTGTGTGTGTGTGTGTGTGTGTGTGTGTGTGTGTACCCACCAAATATTCGTTTGGACTGCCGGACTGCGTTTCTCTGTAACCGGATTTTTACCAACAAAACGACGTGAATAACACGCCCGACAGCCGGGTCGCCTGCGCGCGCCGCGTTCGCGGACGTGGGTATAATAAATGATGATATCGTATCCCCGTCCGCCGGGACGATAATGATGGAATTATATTAATCCCACGTGCCGTGCGAGTATATATTTATTACATATATACATCTTCGAAAAATTATTTTTATTTTCATCTCTCTCTCTCTCTCTCTCTCTCTCTTTCTCTCCGTCTCGATCCGTCTACCACGCGAACCCGCCTTGCGCTGTCCGCGCCCGAAAAATGTGTCCTGATACATCAAGACCGCAGGGACCGCGGCAGTGAACGTCATATGATTACGAAGTCAGCTTTAGGTACCTAACGTATATAATAAACAATATAATCATGTACCTGATTTTCAAAAGAGAAATGAAACGCTCCCACACCCTCAAATACCATAGTTCAATTGTATGATTACTATAATCGTTCTTAAATGTAACGTAAAAATAAATAAGCAACAGTAATACACCTGATGAATACATTGAGTATAGTATAGTATTTAAGCGATACAAATAGTGATTAAGCATAAACAGATAAAAAAAACTATCTTGTTTAGCGACTGATTATGTTAAAATAATAATACAATACGAATTGTTTAACAATTATTTGTATGAGGTACGTTTTATAATTAAACATGTTGACATGTACATGTATTATATCATACTAATATTATTTTTCTATTACTACTGGAATACTTTCCATTATTTCTGAAAAAGCAATTTTATTAACAACATCTCTTTCAATATGTTAAATATTGATAAATCTGTAAAACGATGTTGCTCCGTATTTGCCCTTAGCAAGTTTTCTAAACGACGCATTGACAAGCAACACCTCTCACCTGTAGCAGAACTCACAGGAACTGTAAGAGCCACTTGTTTTAGGGTTTATCCATTTATCACTTATCTGTTATCTAAAACCAAAAATCTCGCTCAAAACAAAAAAATGAAAGGAGAGATTTTTTCGTGGCATTTTGATCTAATTGATTAATATTTAATAATATAATAACTGATCATTATGTTTACACTTTAGTGCTTTTCGACAGATTAAATTTAGTTCACTCAAATAATAGCATAAAAGTATAAAAAGATCTTCGTATGTAATTTCAATGAATGAAAGGAATGCAAGATATATTGCAACCACTCGTTATTTTGAAGGGTTTTAACGTTTGTGAAAATATTTTTTTTAACATAATTTTTACAATTAAAAAAAATAACACTCTCCATAAGAAATATATTTTTTATATTACAGTATTTTTAAAAATTATATTAAATAAACATTTTTTTTTTTTTTCTGATTGTCATAAATAATTAATATATTTAAAATTTAAAAACTGCGTCTTGGCGATTACCCCACCGCCCAGTGCCATTTGTCACTTGGGCAATGTTTAAAAATTATTATCGTTTTTATGCCGTCTATGATGATCTGAGCCCAATCGCAGATAAATTCAACAACCACGAATTGCGTTAACGTGAAATAGTGCCGGGCAACGAAAGAATTTGTAAACATCGCCCAAGTGACAATTGGCGTTGGACATCGTAATTGTGTACGGCGCGTCAGTTTTTACACGTCAACTGTGGTCACAATATGGTCGTATCGACCGTAGATATTTATTGGTATCTACCGTGATGGTTCTATAGAACACACGCACGAACACCCACGCGCACACGCACGCACGAACACCCACGCGCACACGCTCGCGGACCTTTTTGTCGGACCGTGCTGCCTACTACCGTTCGCTGTCCGGCATTTTCGTAGTTGCTCTCGTCTTCGTCGCACGTTTCACGGCCACTCGTTCGCCCGTCTACTGTCTTGCCACAGTAAAAAACTACGTGTTTTTGGTATCTCATTGTGTTCAGTAGTCACTAGTCGCGTTTGCCGCCGGTGAGTAACCATTTTTTTTTTTCATCATCAATTAATTTATGTTACAGACATGTCCAACAACGTCAATCCGTCTGAGTACGTTAATCCATCGGTGTTACAGTCGAGTCATAGATTACTAACATATTATATACCGAGCTACAAAAGAACCGAACCTAGCAAAACGTTTCTGTCAACAGTTGGTGAATCCTGCCAGCGAGACGAATTATTTTCGTGCACAACTACTAATGTGGTAACTGGATAATGTATAAAATAAATCGTACTTATCTCATCAATTTCATTTGTATACTTACTCGGCTGGGTCGTTTTGGTGAATATCGTTTTTACTTCGTCGGTTTATAGATATATATTTATATATATTTATAAATCCTTAATCCTGACGATCCTCGTCTGGTTAATAGGACAAACTTATTAAATTATTGTATTATTAGTCCTTGATTAGTGTGCAAAGTTTCAATTTAAACTGGTGTTTAAAAGTGGGTGAAAATTACGTTTAATGTTTTAGTTAGCACTGACATACTAACATACAGGTGAAGCTAGTAAAAACGTGTTAAAAGAATAAATAAAATAAAATAGGATTTTAGATTTTTGAGGCAATTAATGTTAAACAAAACTTTTATTTCACGAAATTATACATATAGTTGTATTAGTTGTTTGCATGGGTAACTCCCTCGAGCTACCCATTTTTTGTTTGCAGTTCCCCGAAACGGCATGACCGATTTTAAAAACATTTTTTCGTGTATTTGGTAGACATGATAATAGGTCGTAAAGTATTTTTCACCTTTCTAACCCCACTCACCATTTTTTAATCGTGATTTTAGTATTTTAATTATTTATTTTTATGGATTAGCTTAATTACACGGAGGAAATGAAAAAAAAAAATGTAAAAGTTTGGTCAAAACGTATCTTTGGTAATTAATATAAATATAAATAATAAAAAAATAGCATGGGCAACGCTGGGCGGGGCAGTTGTTACTATCTAATACATTTATTCAACGTTATATTTTGTTACACCTTAATTTGTGTACTTTAAAACTATAATTTGTTCTGATAAAAGATTGTATTCAAATTGAGAATAAATGGAAATAAATGTTGGACAATTTCACATTATTCGTAATTGCGATACGCACTATCGAGAATATGTACAACCATGTGTTTGTGACATAGATATAGATAATAAACTTGATTGTTAATTAGTGATGACAGCTATGTCGGTCGATTATATTCACGATGTAGAGAACATGGGTTATTAATTTTTATTTCAGAAAATTGATAATTGGCCAGTCACAATATTTCAATGTTGCCAACGTTTGCAGACGATTTTTTAAATTGTATGGTTTATTCATAGCTGCCAACCGATCTCTCCTAACGTATAATACACGAATATCAAGATATATCTTAATTCGTGGTAGTATAGTACTATAGTTTAGTATTTTATATTTTTCCATAACCGTATTTTCGTGGTAACCGTTAAGTACCTAATTCCAATACGGCTATAAATCAATAAGTTTTAGTATTATAACAATTAATTTTTCTCGTTACTTACCCAACGTGGTTTTGCACAACAAAACTTCGATTAAAGTTGTCCGACTGAGCGCAGCAAGCGAGTATAGGTGTAATTAGAGACCACCTCGGTCTCTAATTACACCTTTAATGCCTTTTCAATTTTCCCTGCTACTTACACGACGTGTTTTTGCATAAGACCGGTTATTATGAATACATAATTTGAAAATAATATTTTTTTCTGTGTTGTGGGTGTAACTACATTTTTGATTCAACTTTTTTTACTTAACGTCTGTGTTCGTGCCGACTGATATGGCTGCAATTTCTTATCATTTTTTCTGAAAACTATATTACATGGAAAGATTAAAAGGGTAGACGAATATAAGCGTCTGTATGTATATACCTCGTGTACAATAATTTCAGTGTCGCCCCCTTCCATAAAACTAGGTAAAATACGCTACTGCACACACCCACACACACACCAATAAATACCTGATTCCTAAGTTATAGGTTGTACTTAAAAGAGAAGAGGTTTGGACTCATAACCCCTATGAATTTAAAATAAAAACAGAAAAATGTGTTAGCAAAACAGTTCTACAAAACGTATTCCCTACGATTACTATTTACGTTCAGGGTAATTCATTTAGCGTGCTCGCGCTAATTTTTTGGTTAAATTTTGCGTACATTCAAATTATTTCTCAAGTGTAGTTGAAGCCAATATTTTCGAATAGTTAAATTTTTTACAACATTTAAGGAGTATCCTTTTATGCAATGCTTATTTAAAACCTACTTTTCTTCTTTATTTCAGATAATAACATTTATAAAAACAATCATTTTTTTATATTTTTACAGGCTCCTGTGCATACTAATCATAAATCTGTGAGTTGTTTGGTTAGAGAACAATATTTTGATATAATTAGGGTAAGTAGTAATATTTTGTATTATACATTTAGAATAGGATATTTTAATTTAAGCTATGTTTTTTAACTATTTCAAATTATTTGTTATACAAATTAATTCTAAGATATAAATTGAAATGTTATTGGTATGGATTTTTATGGATTAATAGTTTTTATTATTATTATAATATTATTGTATATGACATTGATTGTTAGACATTACATTTTTATTTTAAAATATATTTTAGTTTTTGAATAACTGTTATAAAAAAATAAAATTAATGTGCCATACTATTTAATTACCTAGTTCAAATAATATTATGTTCAGTTAAAACAATTTGTATTTATTAATCTAACTATATGCAAATTTGTATCTGCTGTACAAACTGTGTTGTATTATATAATTGTACGTTTTTTTTTTTCAAAAATTATTACCTCCACATAAATTAAGTCGTTTTTAATGTTATTTAAGTTGTCTCATTATTGCACAAACCCCTTTAATTATTAGTTATAAAATAACAGATCTAAAAAGGTACTACCTACATATTTGTTTTAATAAAGTAAATTGATATTAAGCTGAACTAAAACATAGTTTTAAATAGATAAAAACTATTTTAAACTAACTAAAAAACTAAGGTAAACTAAGTTCTATTAATATAATTGTATTCAAATTATTTACCTACACTATCCTGCACTACCCTAATTATATTTAATTCATTATTAATTTGCATATATTATTTATATATTTTAATTTTACAATTTGTTTATTTTTAGGAGATCGAGTTGTTAACAAATGATCCTCTTTTAAACTTTGAAGAGAAAATAACAAAATTATTAGAGATTTGGGAAAATTGCTGTTGTAAATTGAAAATAAACAACCTTCATGATTATGAGACGCGTATATTTACACATTATGCTATTAGGTAATTTTATAATACATAATTTAAATTATTTTTTTATTGAACTGTAGACTATTTAAATATAGGTATATTGAAACATGTATTATCAATTAAAATTGTACGTGTGTTGTGTTAACAGGCGTCTTGACTGAGGTCTGAAACCAGTATGCTCAGGCATACTGGGTTTTTTTTTATACAAGTGTTATGTAATTATCTATTGTTTTACTTTTAGAAAATATTTAGATCTTTAATTTAAACCATTTTGATTTATTCCTGTAGACATAATGATAGATAACTATAATAAAATAAATATTGACATTCCGATATTAAATATATATAAGTACATTTTGAAAATTTTTATTTGTCTGTTACCTAAATCAAATATTATAATAATAATTATCTGTATTTATTATTCTAGTGAATCGACTATATTATTATTTCAAAGAGAGTGGGAACATATTGAAGACCATATTAAAAATCAATTTCTTACAATTGTGGTACAAGTTGTATCTTTCTTCGAAATTAATATCAATTCAGAGGTATTGAAGGCTTTGAATCATTTTGTAGATATTATAAACAATCCGTGGGGTATTTTACCAGATTTGAGTATTGAAAAACGTACGCGATTGATGGAATGTAATATTTTTTTTGAATATTAAACTTATTAACTTATTGATAAAACAATTGTAATAAAAATAAATACATTTTTTTAGTTTCTGATTTTGTCAATAAAGAAAAGGGTGCTATTATTGCAAACCGTGTAAAGGTGTTGTTTCATAATCAACAGCTAAATCAAGCATTCAATTTAGCTGAAATGTCAGTATATTTGTACGAAAAACATTTAACAGAGCACGAGAATATCATTTTATTTCGAGAGGAAGATTATGAATGCTGCAGAGATATTTTGTTTAGTTTACTAATGTACTGTGATAGAAAACATATTATCCGGATTGTATGTTACTTTGCTTATTTAATTATTTAAAAGCAACCAACATTTTTATAAACTTAACTAAAAAATATCATAATAATTTTATTTCAATTTCAGATTGAAACTTTGAATCCAATGTATGAAGGAAAAAGGCTCTGTATTGAATACTATGATAGAATCAAGTGTCTTTCAACTTTGGCAAAGCAAGATCGCCCAAATAATTATCCAAATATAGTACGATTTTGTGAAATAAGTATTACCTTAATAATGAATAAATCATTTCAAAAAAAATTCGAAAGTAGATTTATAGAATTTTGTGAGTTGATGCGCTATTGGTGTGATATTGTGTTTTTGTTGAAGAAATTTGAATTGTTTAGCAACCTAAGTGATCCATTTTATAAACAAAGTATTCTCAACTTTATTGAGTGGGCCCCTTCAGCTGATCACTTATTTTCTATGGCGGATATTTTTTATGCAAAGGTAAGTGCAAAAATAATTATATTTTTAATAATTATAATTTAATATTATGTTGTGAAATTATTATCAACTGATTGGATTAACTGCACTATATTTTTAATTTGGAAGAGTATAGTCTATTGCAATAATATTGTAAATAATTATTATCTATTTTGGTATATTATTATATTCTTTTCCAGTAGATGTTCCTTCACAATAACCTTAAAGTATGTGTTAACACAAAAAAAAAAAAAATCTGGCATATTAGTCCGTCCGTTTTCAAGTTATTACGTCAGCAACAAAATATTGATTCTTTTTTATATAAGTATATAATAATATAATATAGATGTACGTATTTGCCGATTATTTTAGAAATTAATAATCCTATTGTATCATCCTCGTGACGTCTTTTGGGTGATCTTTATTTATTAGTTTTCTATCAGATGGCCAATTTTACGACAACTTACACAGACTATCTTACTATTTATTTATTTTATGATTTCTAATTTCTATCCATATCGCCAATGAATAACCAAAATTAGTATCATAACTGTACTTGAAATACCAATATCCCTGTGGCCCACCCTTGCAGCGCCACTTATCAGATCCAATTGTAAATCTTAATCATATCTATTCGAACTAACAGTGCTTATTGTAACAATGGTATATTAAAAATACTTCCAGTCCTAGATTCATCAATTGAAATATTGCAATAATGTTGTAAATAATTATTATCCATTTTGGTTTATTATTATATTCAACATATTAAGTTTAAAGTCAAACAATTAATTATGATTAGGGCTAAGATTAATATGCAATACAAAATAATAAAATACCCTTTTGGTTTTTTTTTTTTTTAAAATATTCTAAAATTTACAAAAATATATTAAAATATATTATTTAATTAACACTTAGAATAGAAAATCATTTTTATAGTTTTATTTTTTAAAACAAAATTCTCACTAATTATAAATATGTTAAAGTTAGTCAAAAAATATGATATAATGGATACTTACAATACAAAAAGAATGGGCAAAAGTGCAAATATAGTGTTAAACAAAGTAAATTAAAATACCTTGTGATTTAAAACATACTATTCCACAATTGTGTTGTAGAGGGAGACTGAAATGACCCTATTGCCCCCCTTTGCTCCACCTCTAGAGCTAGTGGTATTGATATTTTAGTCACCAGTATTTGATATTTGTTTACATGTCTGGTGTTACTGATATTATGGTACTTTTCAGTAATTACCATCTCTTTAGTTAAATTTAAAAAAAAAATATGTACAATTACCAGCGGTCTCAGCGTTGACCATGCTATTTTGTATTACTCTTTTACCCATATTCCTTTTTGGTTTTGACCGTGTAAGTAATAAATAAAAATAAATAGGTAAAAGGTGAGTAGTTCGCCTTCGACAGACTAAATAGGTACTGTTATACATTTTTTTATGATTTGCATATGAACAATTTTGAAACCTCTTTTTTTCCCAAGGGATGGGGGTTTGGTGGATTTCAAAGTAAAGCATAACCTAACCTATTAGGGAGGGGGGATGGTCATCAGCGGGAAAGCATGTTCACCGTATTATAGCTAATCGTCGCTTGCAGATTTCACAGTGTTTGTTTTATACCTTTATGTGAATATTGGCTGACAATTTATATTAATATTAAATGAATAACTCAATTGTTAGTTCATATAATATGTAGAAATGGATTAATATTTTTGTTGGTGACATTATAACTTGGATACCATCTAAATTTTAAACTTTTCCGGGGGAATTTTCCAAAAATTTTCTTTTAAAATAACCTTATGAACATGCACACAAAAATAAATCAGGGATATTGGTTCGTCCGTTTTCAAGTTATTGTGTCAGCAACAAAATATTGATTCATTTTTATGTAAGTATATAATAATATAATATTGATGTGCGTATTTGCCGATTATTTAAAAAATTAATAATCCGATTGTATCACCCTCGTGGATCTTTATTTATTTATTTTCTATCAAATGGCCAACTTACATGGATTATCTTACTGTTTATTTATTTTTTATTTTATCCATATCACCAAGATAACCAATAAATAAACAAAAATAATATGATCACTGTAAAAATATCAATATCCCTGTATCAGCCATCCTTGTAACACCACCTATCAGGTTCAATTGTAAATCTAAACCATATCCATTCAAACACACATAAAAAATTTCACTAGGAGTTCAGTGGCATATACACATTTACAAAGTTAAAAAAAAATATACTGATTAAGATTATCTAACTCTGGTCAACTATTGTAATATATTAATACTAATAAGTAGCATGTGCTGATAATCAGAGAGCTGTCTTTATACTCTCACCTCTTTTTTGGTCTTAAGAGACGAGAATATTTATCGGTACTACCATATTTATCGAACTAACCGTGCTTACCAAAAAAAACGGTGTACTAATTATAATTTCAAGAACCATTAAAACCGGGAATTGGTAAATGCAGGTTTCCTAAAATTGAGTAACTTTTATAGGAACTGATAAAATCAAAAATGTATTAAATTGAGAATCATAAATTTAAGAACTAGTATATAAATTGCTAATATTAAATTATAAATTCTAGACCTAATTATAATAATAAAATAAAAGATTAATACACTCATAAATAATTAAAATATATCTTAGAATTATTAAGAATATGCTTGACGATACATATTAATAAATATGAATCAATGTATGTATAAATATATATAGATAATATCTTGTGCATTATACACATAAATAAAATAAATGTAAACATGTATTAATTCATGCTTTTTCATTACTTTACAAAATATGGCTTGCCTTTTTCTTTACAATAACATTTTCAATCTACCGGAAAAAAAAAGTTAACCAATTTATTATTAGAAGTATAAATAAAGAAATACCTCCTAAATAACTATTGATTTTCCATAAAGTTTTTTTAAACTATTGTATAATTTTGTAATCATTTTACCCCGTAAATTTATTCTCAAATTAGTAGGATAGCCAAAAAAAAAAAAAAAAAAAAAAAAATGCTTTTTTCACAGATGTATGTTTATATTTAATTTCTATAAGTATGACAATACCATCAAATCTAATTCTGTGAAAAAAAAATTGTCCAGTTTGTGATCAGTGATTTTAGATAAATAATGCAATTTGTATGTATTTAATTTTTTTTTCACTCTATAAATTATAACTAACTTAAAATGGCATGAAGCTATCATGATCAGAATGATCTGAATTTAACAAGGACCAATTATGGTCTTATATACAAATTGCGTTTTATATCTAAAATTGTTATTCGCAAACTGGAAAAAATATTTTTGGTCATTTAAAACATGTATAACCAAACTTTGCTCAGAATTTTCAGCAATCATTAATCGTTTAATACCTATAGACATACATTCATTTTTCTCTATATACTACCATCCTAACTTCTCTCCTACAACAGTGTCTCACTCATCGTGCAAAGTATGTCTCTTTTTTTTAATTTTTTATAAACATTTTCATTAAAATACATATTGATGAAAACACTTTTCTAAATTGGTTAGGAGTCAAGATTCCCACCCTCTCCTTATATTATCTTGTCCGTGCCTTATTTATAAACGTATTTCGCTCTCCTCAATTCAAAATCTTGGCTTTACAATTTTAAATTAATGAGCTAAAAAAATTTGTTTGTTAGGTGCGTAATTTTTTGGGTGGCTTGGATAAATTTTAATGTCCTGACCTGAATTTTTTCTCACTACACCCATGATCTAAAGGTAAATCTTTATAGATGAAAGATAAATGCAGTTTTTATTTCACACTTACTCTCTGCGTCACAGTTTCAGAACCGTTGAACTAGGTGTCAATATTTGACATGACCATATTAAATTCATAACTGAAAAATGTATTTGTATTTAATTTTATTTGACTAAAATATTGGGTTTATCATAATTATAAAAAAATGTTTTGTTTACAGTTTGGAAAATCGCTGCATAGGCATTTTTATGTCAATATTTATACGCGTGCATTGACTCTTTATCTTGACAAAACGAATTACTACATATTGGATGACCAAAAAGAAAATGCATTGATATCAGCAGGCATTTGTAGAAAAAGATATTTAAAATTTGGTGAAATATTTGATGATGTATTACTCGTAAATCGCGAATGTGTTTTGACTGCATATCAGTTAATGCCTTCGACGGACCTTATCAAAAAAATGGAAAATTTGGCCATTCAAAGTGGTATAACAAAGCCAAACAATTCTAAGGGGACTGAAAATTCTTCTGAAACAACTAAAAAAAATAATATTATTCTCGATAAGGAATACTATTACAAATGTTTGTGCCTAAGTCGTAGAGATTGTACTACCTTGATTCATTCTACCCTTAAAAATTTAGAACCAGAGTTTGATACAAATACTATAAATAAACTGTTAAAGATTTTGAGGTCACCTCGGATGGAATGCTTCAATTGGGACTTGTTATGGCCAGATTTGAAAATACAAATTGATATGTATTATGATAAGTTGGATGAAATGAAGAGCAGAAGTATGATGGCATGTGATCATTTAGGACTCACTTGTCATTTTTTTGGAGAATATAAGGATATGATAAAAAATAAACAGGAAACTATGGTCTGTGAAGATCATTTAAATATTATAAAAGATTATGAAGAATCAATTGAGAAAGATTCCACGGAGGAAGTAATTGAGAAAGATTCCACGGAGGAAGTAATTGAGAATATTCAAGCAACAAATAATAAAAAAAGACAGAAAACTAAAGAATAAAATCTGAAATGAATTTCATAAATTAACTCACAGCTAACAATCTTTAACCATACAATTATATTGTTCCAATTACATTGCACTCAATTTAAATTTGGAGTTCACATGTCAAGAATTAATTAAATATATAAATACATAAGGTAGTTTTTTAGACTGAGTCAAGCGAGAAATGTATTGGTTACAATGATGGTTATTTTTTATATACATTTTTTTATTTTTAAACAAATTTAAACAATTTTTCTACAAGAAATCTGTAAATTATATCTGTTTTTTGCTTGTTAGACGTAAGAGGAATAGATATTTTAAGACATCACAATTATATTTTATATTATCAAATATAATTTTTTAAATTCATTTTTATCATTAAATCTTAGTTTTCGAATTATATTCCACATTGTCAGCGGTTTGAATAGCTTCAACCAGATCTATATTCTGTATCTAAAGAAACTTCAAAACTTACAAAAAAAAAGAAAGTTATGTTAAGTTAGTTACATTTTAATTCTATAGATTTTTTTTCTTATATATAATAGTTTTCTATAGGTATAGGCACCTACCTATATATTTTTTTGATTTTTTTTTTTTTTTTTTTTATGCCTAGATCTAAGAATTTTACTTAATTTAAGTATATTTAAATATAATTAACATCTTAATTTAAGTATATTATAATTATTATTATTATACATTTTTGTGGTGTTTTTTTTTGTTAATATTAACGTAATGTAATTTTTATATTTTTTTTGAAGATAATATGTATGCAGTTTATTTAATGTATTAAAAAAAAAATTGTGTTTTCCTAGTTTTTTCTTAATAATATAATTACATATATTGTTATTATTATTAGAATACAATTTTTTTTTTTTCCATTAGGGGCTATTTTATGTGTACATTGTACATTGTGCAACAGTAATACTTTGAATTAGTATTAAGAATAAAATAATAAGAAATAGTGTTAAGGTTAGTGCCACATTTAACTACTGTTCTGCTGTAAGCACTGAACAAACTGCCGCTCTTTCACAAACATTTTTTTTAAAACTTTTGTATTATTATTATTGAAAAAATAACTTAATATGGATTCCTTACTTTGGTTTATACCAATTTTTTCTTATTAAACACAAACTAATTAATGTTATTACAATACTATGTTTTACCTTATACCTATATTATATTACATTATATAAGTTTTTTCTTAATAAAATAATTATAATTACATATATTATTATTTATATTTGAATAAAAATGTTTTTTTCCATTAGGGACTATTTTATGTGTACATTGTGCAACAGTAATACTGTGAATTAGTATTAAGAATAAAATAATAAGAAATAGTGTTAAGGTTAGTGCCACATTTAACTACTGTTCTGCTGTAAGCACTGAACAAACTGCTGCCCTTTCACAAACATTTTAGATTCTGAGTGGATCGAAGAAGCTTGTAGTTTTACAAAGATGTTAATTTTTTTTTTTGTAGACAACTTTTTTACCAGAGAACTTCCTCCGATTTTACATGTAGCACCTTTTCTGAAAAAAAATCAGTGTGGAAAAGTACTTTAGAGAGATAATTTTTTGATTTTTCCCATCAAATACGAAAAACCCAGGATAAAACATTTAAAAACTGGAAAAATGGGTACAACATTAAAACCATATTATTAAAGAAAATATATAAAGCCTATTTAATTATTTTTCTATAGTATGACATATATATATTGTGGACAAAGCATCATTATCAACTGAACTCTGCTCAGAATCGTTTTTTCGTTAGCAATGGTTTATCATTGCTTACAGGTATACATTAAATTGTCTACAACAGAGGCTGCACCTGTCTCCATTATTCTATGATGCTTTTTTTTTTTAAAAATCTAGCATTATTATTTTTGAAAAAACAACTCTGTGTGGAAAGTTTTTACTTAGGTTCTTACTAAACCTTTCTAATTAAATACAAACTGATTAATGCTATTAAAAAATTATGTTGTACCTTAATTACCTAACAAATTATATTATATTAGTAAAAATAAAATAAAGTAGGTACTTAAATAGATTCTAATAAAACTGAAGTTAAAATATAATGTATTCTACGGTTTTTTTTTTAATACAAACAGATTTATGTTACTATTATGCTATACTTAACTAATTACTAAACTATATTATATCAGTGAAAATAAAATTTAAAACTCAAATAATTTGAAGAAGAACTCTAATCTAAATACACATTGGTTTTCATTAAGATTTTTGATTGTTAAATTCATTAATGGTATCTTTGAAATCTTATGTTATTTAAAAGTTCTGATTTAATCGCCAATAAACTAAATGAATTTAGTTTATATTCTACTAAGCGGGATCTTATATAATTTGTTATGTGATTAAAGTATGATAATCGTTTAGGAGAACAATTGGCTTTTGCTGTGCATAAAAACATACAAATAACTACATCAATGTTCGGGAAAACTAAATTTTCAACACGAAGTAGTAATGATAATTCAATAACTCTGAGATTATTTTCATCATTTTAAATTATACTTTGAAGACATGATCAAAAATGCAGACACTCGTTTGAAAATAACTCCTCCAAATCATCGTTATGAAATGCCTGAAGTTTATTTGCTTTTTTAGAATGATCTTTTCTAATGTAAGTTTATTTAAATTAATTAAAAAATCATATTTTTTAAACATATTGTTATAAGCGACGCATCTTTTTTTCATTTCGCTTTCGATCCGATCTAGTATGGTAATATGTTTCTATTTTGAACTTATTGCTTCCATTCATATGAACTTTGTTTTCTTATTCCTCGTCAGTTTAAAGTTACGTTTTTCAATTCTTATACTATATTACTGATATTATTCACTTTTAATGTATTTGCTTAATTTATATTTTCCGTAAAAAATTCGTCATTACAAATGATTGATGTTACGAAATGTATTAATGTTGGTAAAGTTCTACTACTTTTCTCATGGCAGTATTTACTTTTAGAAGTTCTTTAAATGTGTTGTTAAAACGCTCCAATATTGAATTCCAAAATAAGGCCATAAAAAATATTTTTCAAAACAATCAAGTTGACGTCTTAACCCGGTTATTCACAACGTACTGTCGTTTTTTCGGAATTATCTTCTAAAATTTTTAAATTTTTCATAACGCCGCATAGTGGTCTGAATGGTAACTTAGTCTACCTAAATTAATTAATTTTCAATTTTAACCGATACGATAGTGTGATACACCAAACCTATTGCTTTTGAGGACGCTGAACCCAAATTTCGTATTCGTTTTTCAACTGACCTGTTAGTCAAGGGGGCTGTGGGGGTTACTTTTTAAAGTTTTACATTATTTATATTTTCAATATAAATTATGTGTTTTAAAGGGTACTGAATTCAAATTTCGTTTAAGTTTTTAATTAACCATTCAATTTAGAAATTGTATAAAACTAAGGTAAGAAGGTAAGTTGATGTAAAATTTCCAATTAATAAAATATATATTATACCATTGTATGATTAAATATTTGTCAGTTACTATTTCCTACAAAATAATATCATAAAAGGTAAATTATAAACGTTACAAAATACATAGACAAAAAATAATAATAATACCACAAAACAATATAGACAAAATAAAAATACAATATGGTGACTAATAACGTGTTGTATTTCGTGGGATAAGGCTAAAATTACAAGTTAATAAGAAAAAAAAATGTTTCCAAGTGTGCATGGGAACCGGCTAAGTTGGGGCACAGGATGTGATCGGATCCCGGCACCCCTTGCCAGTTCGCCACTGATAAAATTGGAATGTAAATATTCATGTCGGCATTGTATCTTTATTTGTAGTCGTAAATATTAGCAGCTATCTAACTTGGTTAAATTATGTGTATTAAATTATTGCACTTCATCAAATATAAACAATTATAAAAAAAATGTCTATACTAATGAATTTAAGAAATTATTTAGCTTTTTTTTGATATGACAACGTTTCTAACTTGAGTTTTATTTTTTCTTAGCGAGGTATTTACACGAAGATGATGGAGGCTTTTGTTGGGATAAACAGTAATAGCATTATAATCGTATTTTAACACAGTTATAGATAATATCAAATGCTAAATTTACTTAACCATATCTATATCTGTCTTTTAGTGGATGCTATTTTAATCCATTCGACCTACTCAAAATGGCGGTTAATAACTTCACGTCTATTATCTATATCTGTGTGTTTAATCTAATCTATTACTCTGTGGACTGTGATATTAGTTAATTGTTGTCTATTACTATTATTCTTCGAACCGCTGGATGATATGACATACGCTCTATATAATACTTGGGTTTTTCTTTTATCTATAAACTTTCTAATTTTTCATTTTTCTTTTAGTAAAATAAAAATAAAACTCGCTGATAAAACATTGTAATTTGTGCACACATATATGCATATTATGATAGTTATAAGTGAATACAGTATAATGTAAATAAGAAGCTTAGAAGTCTATTTTTAATAAAAATGTTTCTCCTTGATTTCATTATAACAAATTTATAATGTCCGTCAAGTTGACACCGGCACTTTATGCTAGGACTATACAACTACACATTTGGATGCGCTGGAATTTTTATATGGGACGGAGTATAGTATCAATATTTTGCTAGATTTCGCTAGAGCATTTTTGGAGCTAGGGTCCGTAAACTTCGGAAAACCATAAATTAACACGCCGATGCTATTTTTGTGGCTGCACCGGCACATTATCCGATTTCAAAAAAAAAATTTCCAAAATATTCAGATAAATTTGTTAGATTTCGCTAGAGTATTTTTGGATTTATCAAGGGAATAACTTAAGCGCTTTACCCGATTATATTGGTTTTTACACCGATTAATAGAATTTAAAACAGTTGTAATTTAGATTCTGTTTATCTACAGTAAATTTTGTTTTAGAAATATAAACTCCACTGAATGGCTATCTTAAAATTTCCTGAAAATAATAAAATGAAGTTATTTATTACATTTTTTTACTAAAAAAAAACTTTAATTTAAATAAAATTGTATGTAGTCCTCATCCCTGCGAGTATTATAAAAAGAAAAAAAATTTGAATTTGACCATCTTTATTATCTCCGGAGATATCAAGGGGTATATCTTTGTAGGATAGCCTGTATATGTGCATAAAATTATGTTATGTTATTTAATTATATTATATTTGACTGCCACCCTGAGGAAAACATTTTTCAGTTAACGACAACATTGCGTCCGTCCTTGTACTTGAATTAATCCAGCAATATATTTATTTGAAATTAGAGCAATATCGATACCAGAGCATTTTCGATAAACTAAATTATTTACTAAGTAGTTAGAAGTCGGAAATTATGCACGATTCCCTGTAAATAATTATTGGTGTCACAACTTTCATAACCTTCAGCAATTATTTTTATCGGTAATATGCTGTGTCCCGATAATTCCTTTGTCCTTGTGATGTGGTTAATTCAGCAATATATTAAGTAATTTGAAATGTCTGAAAAATCAGTAGAGCCTCATTGAATTTCCAAATTGAAGAATGATTTGCTGTTAAAAGTGAACTAAATCCCCTACGCTAGCCTTTAACTGCATTATTAGTTTTGGGAAGGCGATTAAGATTTGATTCGTAGCAGTTTCAAAGACTAAGCTCGTATCTAAGAGACATTCGTCCAATACCGGTTCATCGAGATTTACCAATCCATGTTGTTTAAAATTATTCCACTAAATTAGACAAACAATCCTCGTGTTATAGAAATTAGTCTGAGTTTGTTTAAATGCTTTACGACATCATGCTCTGGAACAAATACAAGAGCCCCTGATTTTCTAACGTTCAAGACAAAATCTGCAGGGTTATCCTTGTCCCCGTACTACGATCTAATGTCATTGTTTGACTAGATTTTTCTCCAGATGCACTGGCTTAAGTGAAAAAGAAGCCTCTTGTTGTATATTCGGAAAACTATAAGTGAATCAAAATCGATTATAACACTGACTGGAGACAGTCTTGGATTGAATAACTTTATTTGATTTAATAAACGGAAATACGTTTCCTGACATTTATCCGGCAATAATGCATAAACCGTTGGGAGAACATTATTGCATTTTATGGCATGTATTGTAAAACCTTGTGGGAAGAGCACATAGTTGACTAATAAAACCAATGAGAGGCGGTCCGTTATACGAGTCAATAGTA